ATGAAGATGAAGAAGATGAAGATGATGATGATGATGAAGAAGATGAGGATGAAGATGAAGATGAAGATGAAGACGAAGTAGATAATAAAGACGAAGAAGAAGAAGATGAAAATGAAGAAGAAGAGGAAGATGAAGAAGATAAAGAAGATATTGGTGATGACAAAGATGAAGAAAAGAATAATATAAGTGATATAGAAAAATGGGAAGAAAATAAAGGCAAAAAAGGAAAAAAAAAAAAAATAAATAAAAATAATTATGAAGAAAATGATTTTAATAATGAAAATATAAAGCATGGAAAAATAAAACATTATATGCCCATTAATAGTAATAAAATAAAAAATAAGAATTTATCAAATAAGGTATTGAAAAAGAAAGTAAATGAAAAAAAAACTCATACAAAAAAAAAAAAATTAAAACCAATGCCTATATTTTGTTGCGAAACACAAAATCATAAATTATCAGATATTATTGATAGAGAATTGATAAGAAGATCCAAAATAGCACTTTTAAATTGTACTCCTGTAAATATAAAAATGCCTGTAAAAAATACAGATAGAGCAGTTGGAGCTATGTTAAGCTATCATATAATTCAAAGATATGGTGAAGGAGGATTACCTATAGATACCATAAATGTTAAATTTAGAGGAACTGGTGGGTTATCTTTCGGTGTCTTTTTAACAAGTGGTGTTAATTTTGAATTAGAAGGAGATGCTAATGATTTTGTAGGAAAAGGATTATCTGGTGGTATTATTTCTGTTCATTTTCCGAAAAATTCTTTATTTATAAATGAATGCCAAAAAAATATGATTGTAGGTAATTCTGTTTTATATGGAGCTACTAAAGGAAGAGCATTTTTTGCTGGGAGAGCAGGGGAAAGATTTGCTGTTCGAAATTCTGGAGCCATTGCAGTTGTTGAAGGAGTTGGAAGCCATGGATGTGAGTATATGACAAAAGGTATTGTAGTAGTTTTAGGAGAAATTGGATGTAATTTTGCAGCTGGTATGAGTGGAGGTATCGCATATGTGTTAGATATTAATCAGAAAAATGTAAATCATCAAATGGTTGATTTAAAAGTTTGTAAAAGCATGGACGAAAAAATGACTTTAGAAAAATTATTGCATGAACACTATGAGAGAACTAATTCATATACAGCTAAAATGTTGTTACAAAACTTTGATGATAATTTAAAAAGATTTACCAAAATTATACCTAGAGATATTAAGAGAGTTTTAACAGAAGCTTGCATTGAATTTGTAAAAACTGGAAATGAAGAAGCAGCTGCTATTTTAGATGATTGGGCTTCCTTATTAAAAAGTGTTGATCAGCCAGAAAATATGTATAAAAAAGCTATGCAATTCTTTACGACAATTTCGGATGATCCATCTGGTCTTCCTAAAACATTAGCATTAAGAAACGTTGATGGCTTAATAATTAATGATATCTTGCAAGATCATCATAGTAGAAGATTATTAGCATTAAAAAATTCAACAAAAGATTTAGATAAATGTGATGAACAAAATTTAAAAAAAAAAAAAATTTTTGATTTTGAAAGATTTATGCATAATTTAGAATTATGTAGGAGAAATAACAGAAAATGGAGAAGATATGCTGAGATTCCATTTAAGTGTAACGCTTTTGCTGATTTTAAGAATTCTTTTCCAAATACTTTAGATGAAAAATCTAAGGAAATGATAAAAAAATATTTTCTTAATGAAAAATATTTGTTAGATTTGCATCTAAAATCATTAAATACAAACAAATTTATTGAAAGTTTAATAAATAGAGAAGAAGATGAATACATTAATATGACCCAAAAACAAATGAGTCCAAATATTTATTCCTTGCAAAAATATTTAAGTGGCAATGAGAATTTTGATTCATTAAAAACTAAATGCTCTTCTAGAAAAATACATGATATTATGAACGAGGAAAAAGTTAAAAATGAGGAAATTTCAAAAATGGGAAACTATAATGATAAGAATAGAGAAATTTCAGCTTATACTACAAATATAAAGAATGATAATATAGATGTAATTGATTATAAAAAAGATAATATTCCTTTGTCAGAATTTCACGATTCTCATTCTATTAAAACAAGTAATTATACACAAAATAGTATTAATTTTTCAGAAAAGAAATTTAAAAAAAATAATGAAAATGAGGTAGGAGATATAGTAAAAATTGCATCATATGCAAATTTTTCAAATGGTATTTCTTCAAAACCATTTTTAGTTGCATATCCTAATAAAGTTACAGGATTTAAGGATTATGAAAGGTTATCTCATCCTCTTAAAGATATTAGTAGCAGGGTACTAGATTACTCTGAAATTATTGTACCTATAAATGTAAAAAGTAAATTACATAATCAATTATTAAAAACACAAGCATCAAGATGTGTTGACTGTGGTACTCCAACATGCCATTATCCAAATGCTAGTGGTGGTGGATGTCCATTAGGAAATAGAATATTTGATTGGAATAATTTGATATATGAAAATGAATGGAAAAAAGCTTTAGAACGTTTATTAGATACTAACAACTTTCCAGAAATTACAGGTAGAGTTTGTCCAGCTCCATGTGAAGATGCATGTATTTTAAGCATAAATGAAAAGCCAGTATCAATAAAATTTATTGAATTATCTATTATCGAATGCGGATTTTTAAAAAAGTGGATACAACCAATTATACCACACTCTAGAACTGGTAAAAAAGTGGCAATTGTAGGATCAGGGCCAGCAGGGCTTGCTGCGGCTCAACAACTAAATAAAGCTGGGCATGAAGTAACAATTTTTGAAAAAGATGAATATTTTGGTGGATTATTAATGAATGGAATACCAAATGTACGTTTAGATAAGAAAATTATAGAAAGAAGACTAATATTAATGAAAAGAGAAGGAATAATTATGAAAAATAATATTAATGTTGGTGTGGATATTACTTTATCTGATTTAATAAAAGAGTACGATGCAATTTTATTAGCTACAGGATATAAAGTCCCAAGAAAATTAGATATACCAGGAGCAAATTTAAATAACATATTTTTTGCTATGGATTTTTTAACATCTTGCCAAAAATCTTTAACCAAATCAGATTTGATGGATGATAATTATATAGACGTTTCTGAAAAACATGTAATTATAATAGGTGGAGGAAAAACAGCAGTTGATTGCATTAGTTTAGCTATTCGTATGGGTGCTGCAAGTGTTTTACAATTCACTAGACAAGAAATTGAACCATTAAATACTACAGAATATTGGTGGCCTGGAACAAAAAATATATTCAAAGTGGAATATTCACATGAAGAGGCTATTATAATTCAAGGAAGAGATCCAAGAGAATTTTGTGTAAGAAGTTTAGAATTTATTCCATCCAGTAAAGATCCTAAAAGAGTTTCTGGAATTAGAGCTATAAAAGTAAAACTAAAAAAAAATGTGAGAAACGAAATGAACAAACAAATTAATAATAATAATAATAATAATACAATGAAAAATGAAACAAAAAAACAATCTAACAGAACAAATAAAATTAAAACTCATAAAAACCCAACTAATATGACTCAAGAAACCACAACTGCAAGTTCTCATTCGTCATCTTCAATTACTGAAAACAACATAATTCAAAACTATCAGAACATAAAAACACACAAAGAATATTTTGATATACCATTTACAGAAAGAATTTATAAAGCAGATGTTGTGATATTGGCATTAGGATTCATTAAAACAGATGATTCTATTTGGGAAAATGACAATATAAAAATTGAACTTGATAATTTTAATTGCATAAAAACAAATAATAGAAATTATCAAACAAATTACAAAAAAATATTTGCATGCGGGGATTGTAGAATAGGATCTAGCACTGTTGTACAGGCTATTGCAGAAGGAAGAGATGTAGCCTCAAAGATTGATGAATACTTAACTAATTCTGTTTCTATTCTCCCCCCTTGTAATGCTTATTATTATTATCCTCAAAATTATAAAAACATATCATTTAGATATTCATATTGGGGATAATGATTTAAATATATATGCAAGTTTTTCAAATTTTTTTGATAATTTTTTCACCTCTATATATATATATATATATATTGAATTTATTTACGTTTATAAAAGTATTATAATAAAATTGAAGGTATAATTTTTTTTTTTTTTTTTTTGTAATAAAATTAATTAATTGTATTCATTTTGTACATACTTAGTAAATAAATTTAAAATTTTATATTTTTTTTTATAGCATTTTAGAATAATTAATTTAATTTGTTACAAAATATTATAATTAAAATCGTTCACAAAAAGAAAATAAAAAAAAAAAAACAATAAAAATAACTAATATAATTATTTGTGAAATTCCATAAACTTATTATAAATGCATTACTAAGTTTTTATAAAGACTGATATATAACCATAAACTATTAATACTTTAAAAAATAAAAGAATTCATAAAAAACTTTCAAAACAAATTTATAAATTACATATTATTTGAAATAATTACAATACATTATCAATAGAAATGTAAAAGAACCAAAATTTATATTTAATGATATGTATTAAAAATTAAATATTTGTACATTTTTTATTAATAAGATAAGCTTATAATAATAAAAATATATATATATGTATGAATATTAATTATGTTAGAAATTACCTAAAGTAACAATTTCCAAAAAAAAAAAAAAAAAAAAAAAAAAAAAAAAAAAAACAAAAAAAAAAAAAAAAGAAAAAAACAAACAAAAAAAAAAATCTTTGTCTTTCAAGAAAATGAATTTATAAAATACAAATTTTATGAACAAGTTAACATAATAAATATCAAAATATTATATTAAAAAAAGAGATAATAAAATATTTATAATAATTTAACAAAAATTATGAACATACATATATATATATATATATGTAGAGGAAAACTTTTAAATTAATGAATATAAAGGAAAATTAAATATTTATAATCTATCTATATTAAAATAGAGGATATTATGTTACCTTTATACAATTTTTTCTTTATTTTACTAATGTTCTATTTAAATACACATTTTTATTTGATATATTTTCATTAATGTTAGAATTATCTAAACCTAAACTTCCTTTTGTACTCATGGACGATAAATTTTTATACCCATCTTTTTTGTTTTTTTGTTTTAAAGCACAAAATTGTGAATTGACTTTATTTTTTTTCTCATTCATTAATTTTTCTATTATATTCTTATTATCATATGCAATTGTATCGTTTTCTTCTATTAAAAAGGATCTTTTCTTTTGTGGAATAATTATATGATCTGTATTAGACTTAGAATATGCATATATATCTTTGCATTCCTCATTAATCATTCTTTCTTGCTCTTCCCTAATTTTTGTAATTTCATCATTTAATTTATTGATATAGCTGTCTTCGAATATCTTTTTATCCTTTGTACTTTTCTTATCACAATATATATTTTCATCAAGTGAATAATCATTTTTTATCACTTCAATATTATTAGGATATTGATCATAATCGTAGTCATTTTTCAATTCATGATTATTGTTAAAATGTGGAGAATCTATAATGTATCCCTTATCATTGTAATGTTCTAAAAATTCATTTTTGTCATAAGAATAATCAATATTACTGTTCTTCATTATTTCTTTTAATGCTCTTGATTGTTCAGAGGAAGGGTAATTAAAATGTGGAAAATTTTCATTTTTTTTTGGTTCTTCCTAAGATAAAAAAAAAAATATATATATATATATATTATTTTTAACATATATATAAAAATAATTCATATATTTTTTATTTATTGTTCTTATATATTTTTTTTTCTTTATAATTATTTATATGTATTATAAAAATATACATATATATATATATAGATTATAACCTGAAATGTACTTTTTCTTTTGATATAGTTTTTCCATTCTATTTCAGTCATTCCTATTTTTTCTGCCACATTTTTGCATAAGATATCTTCAGGGTTTAATATTTTATAATTTCCTATCCACATTTTAGGTTTTCTTTTATTTGGATAATATACATACGTTCCTTGAATTGAGTTCCCTTCAACTATAAATGTAACCAAAATAAGTCAAATAAATTAAAACATAATGTCCTATATATCTAATTATTATAAAAAAAAAGTATACTCTAAATAAAAAATTCTACATTATATAATAAACTATAAACAAATAATGAAAAAAATAGAAAAGGTATATCATTTATTTGAATCGTGCTAATAAAAATATATTTAGACATTTTCTAAAGAAAAAAAAATTCTATATATTAATGTTGTATCATTAATAAACATAAAGTAATTTTTTATTAATATCACTTATATACTATTTTTTTTTTTTTTTTTAAAATATATAATTATATTTATCTAATGAAATATTTAAAAAAAAAAAAAAAATTTAATTATAAAATAAATATCTCATGAATAATTTCATTTTTATAAAATGTTTACTAGTATTATTTTTATTCAAAGCTTCAAGCATCATCTCCTGAGGAAACTCGGGATCTTCTACCATTTCAGGATCCCCCTGAAAGTGAAGATTAATTTTATATGCACATATATATATATATTTCCTTCTATGCGTTTATAAAAACTTTATTGAATTCTTCTAATTATTTTTATATCTTATTTTTTTTTTTTTATTTTACATTCATATACCTCATTTATAGTTCTGTATTCCCCTATTTTTGTAGTTAAATCTTGTAATGTCATTGGCTTTTTTTTTTGTTCACTAGCTATATTTCCCATTTTACAAAAATTCAATATAAAAAATATTTTAAAATTTAAATGTTACTTTAAATGAAAAAAAAAAACAAAATAAATTAAAAAAAAATGTAAAGATACTATATAAATGAAAATTTTGTAATTTTTCTAAAATATGTGTATAATTTCTTAAAAATTTTAAAATATATATTTGATAAATGTATATGTATGTATATACATATTAAAAGTTATGAATATGTTCTATTCTATTTTTTCATTCTTTTCAAAAAAAAAAAAAAAATGAAAACTATAGTTAGAATTCTATATTTTCACACAAAATTTTTAATTTTACAATTTTTTATGAGATATGTAAAATAATGCATTGGAAGAAAAAAAAAAAAAAAAATCGAAAAGAAAATTAATAATTTGCACATTAAGGCATTATAATAGATCTATATTACCGTTGTGTTATTTTATTTTATTTTTTTTTTTTTTCATGAAATATTAACATGTATATTATTTTTTTTTCTCCTTAATTTATTTACATTTTAAAATAATTCTACGAATTTATCTATTTGTCTTTTTCTTGTAATATATATAAAGTTTATTCAGTAGAATTTTCATGTTCGTTTTTAAAATGAAATTTGTAGATACTGTTTTTTTTTTTTTTTTTACAAACTTTTTAATCTTAAAAAGTGCTTTAACATAATATAATTTTATGCCGTAGCACATGGGAAAAAAAAAAAAAAAAAAAAAAAAAGTTTATGTAACAGATAAATATGTAAATAGTTAACTTATCCTTGTTTTAAATTTCTTTTTTCAAAATACACAAATTAAAAGCCCTTTTTGTTTTCTATAGAACATTATATAGGAAAAAAACATATATATATAATAACTCATTGCTAATTAAATAGAAAATATTTTACAAATTTCTATTTTATATATTCATGAAAAACATTATTTTTCTATTTTTTTTTTTAGTAAATATATTTTATTTTTTTTTTTTTAATTAAACATTCTTATGATATAATGTTAAATCTTATTTAGAATAATGTCATATTCTTTCTGTATATCATTTATAAGGTAATACTAGTTTAAATTATTTTGTGTGCAAAAACAGGTTTCAGAATTTATAATGATTATAGATAGATATATTAATTTAGGAGTTTTATAAAAGGTATATAATTTAAGGAATTTTATATTGATGTTGTTATCTAAAAAAGATTGTGCAAGTTTATGCAGCATAATTTGTTTGTGTGCATTTTTATGAATCTAAGATATAAAAATATATATGCATGAACTGTTTTTTAGAAAAAGAAAGTAAGAACTTTTAAGTTTTTGTTTGTCTATTATATGAATATATAGAAACGTTTTTATCACAGTTTTCAATAATGTAGAATAAAACTATATGTATCCAAAATATAAATGATTACATACCCTTTCATAAAAAAGTTATATTTTTGTTGCTACATCATTACAAGGTTTATTCTTATAAAGTTCATTTTAACTTGTAGAAATGTAGAAATGACAATATCAAATAATGTAATATATTTATATTTACTACTTCTTTTAAAATTACTAGAAAAACTTTTTCTTTATAATTCTTCCCAGTATTCTTTTAATGACTTTTCATTATAAAATAACTTTATATAAATTACAATTAATATACTACAATTAAAATTTCCTCTTTTAATACTTAATGAACATTCAAAAATAAAAAATCATTTCCTTTTTATTTATTTTTTTAAATAATATAGTTCAACATTATTAAATTATTTATATTAAAAATTCATAATATAAAAAAATAATTTCTTCTAACAGTTTTTGCTATATAAAATTTATGGAAAAACAAAAGATTTTAATGGTTGATAGAAGAATAAAAAATGAATTAAAGGTAACTATCTTAATAATAAAAACTATTCATAATATATTTTACATACATATAAAAAAAAAATTATGAAATGGTATCCTATTTTACATATTATAATATATATAAATTTCTCTTAATAATAAAGAAAAAATTATTAAAGAGGTAAAGTAAATACATCATATTTTCTATATAAAAAGTTATTTTGTTTAAATTAAATAGTTTATACATTTTCTTATTATAGCATTTATTTTATATGATGAAAAAAATATATGTTATTTTTATATTTAATTCCTTGATTCTCTTTTAATGGAAAAATATGTTAAAAATAAAATATTGATAATCAATAATTTTGCAATATAAATACATATTTCTATATTAAAAGTTGTTTTACACAAAATTACATAAATTAAAATATTGGTATAAATAAAGCATTATACATTTTTATTTTGTTAATTTAATTTTAAATTAAAAAAAAAAAAATTTTAATAAATTAAGATGGACACATATTTTAGCATATTAATTGATATAAAAATACAGTATAAATCTCATTTATAAATATTAAGACATAAATTCTTAAAAAATATATAAATTTAATATTATATATTTTACTCAATAAACGTATTTCTTTATATTTTTTTTTTTCTTATGATTCCATTAATTTCATTTTTTATTACTTTTACATTGCTTATTTTCACTTTTTTTTCCCAATAGAAATTAATATATAAATTTATTTCTCTATAAATTTACCATTATTAAAAATTTATAATATAATTTTTTTAGAGAGTTCAAATATATTTTCATTAAACATTACATATTTCATTTATTAAAATATTTTTTACTATTAAAAAAAAAAAAAAAGAAAATATATATATATATATATATATATATAACTAATTGAAAAAAAAAGATCAGATAATGATTAATGAAAATATTCTCTTGAAAAAAATTAAATTAACGTAAATTTTTTTAGAAGATTTTTAAATGTCTTTGAAATAAAAGAGAATAATGTATTACATATGTATGTTTTTTAAAAAGGGTTTTACTAAATATGGAAGATAAAAATGCATTTTTATTTCATATATATAATACAGAAATAAATGAAAATGAACGAGAAGAAAGGAATAAAATTAAAAATTATTCCTTTATAAAATTACCTAGTATATCAGAACCATCAAAAAATGTTCTATATCATTTTAATGAAGAAACTAATGAATTATATTTACTTGAAAGAAACTATTATAACCCAAAAATTGAAACAATACGGCATGAAAAAGATAAAATAAATAAAAATAATATTTCAATATTTATTAACAATTATGCATTAGAAAATGCATATAGTTATTATTGCTATCCAATAGATGCAATATTTATTTTTATATCTATAATATATGAAAATTGTTCACATAATAAATTTATTACATTAGAGAACTACTTAAATAATATCTTAAATGACAATGAGAAAACAAAAAATGAAGTCATTAAAAATACATTAAGTATTTTTAAAAAAAACGTTAACAGAATAAAAGATAGGTTAAAAATAGTGTGTGACGAATTACATGAAAATGAAATGTTTTACTATAAGCCGAATATAAATAAAGTGAAGAATTTTTATAATTTTAAATGCATAATTCTATTTAACTACATAATAGAAAATCAAATTATTTTTCCAGATTATGCCCAATATATGGAAAAAGAAATACTGGAAAAATATAAATCGGATGAAAATAGACATCCATTCAATTTAATAAAAGAAGAAAAAAAACAAATAGATAAATATAACCAATATAAAAAATATATAGATAACTATTTAATAGAATTTAATAAACAACATTATAAAATTAATGGAGATAACTTACGAGCATTTATTTGGTTAGTTATAAAAGGTTTTATGTGTTTATCTCTTGAAGAAAAAATTATACCTGATGATATTAACAAAAAATTAAATGAAATTAAAGAAGATGAAGAAGAAAAAAGAAAAACACAAAATATGATATTTACAAAAAATAAAAAGCATCCTTTGCAAGTTCCTAGGAATCAACCAATGATAGATTCTTTTTTTAAAAGAAAAAAAATAAAATAAACAATTTTTTAAAACATAATTTAAGTATTTTATTTTAAAAATAATTTATTTAGATGAATTTGTATATATATATATATATCTTCATACAAAAAAAGGTGTATATTAGAATAATTACATTATTTATATTTGCTTATTACAATTTCATTTCTTTTATTTTATTTTTTTCCATTTCTTTATTTTATTAATTATAAAAAAATAAACAAAGGTATAAACTTATTTTTAAATGTTTATATTAGTTCAACAGTTTCATGAATTTCAACCATTTTTTTAAAAAATATATTGAAAAAAAATATTGGTATATATAGAAAATATGTAATGAAAGAATATATATATTTTTTTTTAAATTAATAATATTTTTAGAGAATATTTATTAAAGAAATATGAGTTATTAAATATAATTAAACTTTCAACAAAAAAAAAAAAAATAAATCAACTATGATAAAATAAAAATAAACCATATAGAAATAATATAAGGATTATGTTAAAATATTAAAAGATTTATAAAATACAATTAATGATAAAAGTATCAAAACAGTTATAATGATATTTCAATATATATGAAAATTTAAATAATTTATAAATATAGAAATAAATAGGATATTTTTTATTTATATCATATATATTCTTTTGAGTAAATGTAAAAGGGTAGATAAAACACAAAAACCTCCGAATTGATGAACTAAGGCCAAATATATGGGAACATGATGAATTACAACACTTATACCTGTTAGCATTTGAGTAGTTGTAATAATTGGTAGTAAGAAAAAAAACCGTCTTGTTTTTTTACTCAAAGATAATGTTTTAGAATAATAATACAATAGAAAACTATTTAAAACAATTATATAACTAAGCATTCTATGATTAAATTGTACTACTGCAGTATTTTCAAATAATTGCTTATATTTTTTTTTTTTTTGCATATAAAAATTTCTTACATCATCAGGAACAAATTTATCTAACATTTTTGGCCATGTGTTGTAAGCATAACCTGCATCATTACCTGCCACAAAACCTCCATACAAAATATTAGAAAAAGTCAACAGGGTAAATGCAAATAACCCTAATTTCATTTTCTTAGTAATATTTCTTTTTTCATACATTCCGTGTATCAGTTCATTTCTTAAAAATTCGGACCAACTACTTAATTTGCTTTTTTTAAATTGCCTTCTTAATTTTCCTAATTCAATTAATGTTAAAGAATTAACAAATGTATAGCTATATGTTACAGTTGCACACAACAAGTGAAAGACTAATCTATATGGAGAAACCCTTGGAGTTTTGTTTTCAGTTTCAGGTTTATGAAAACCACTTTTTACCATCCACCAACCTACTAAACCTTGAAATATCCCTAATGTTAAAACGAAACTTAATTTTTTAATCATGTTTTTTTTCAAAGAGCGTTTAAATAAAAAATAACCAGCACCACTAACAAAAAATAATCCAATACCACGACCAAACATTCTATGCAACCATTCATTAAAAAATATTTTCTTATATTCATCTAATGAAATGTTATAGTGAACTTCTTTATATTCAGGGGTCATTTTATATTTTTCAAATTCTTCCATCCATTCTTCATTACTTCTTGGATATTTTATACCCTGAAATTTCCAATGGGTTATTGATAAACCACTTTCAGTTAATCTAGTATATCCTCCTATACTTATCATACCTAATATTAACAAACTACAAGTGTTCAACCATATACCTACTTTAAATTCATATCCTTCCTTCACCAAATTTTTACATTTTTCAACTTTTTTTAAAATATATAATTCTTCAACCTTGTTTAATTTATTAAATGTACTTACATAATTTTTATTAAACAATATCCTTCTCTTCAATACATTTCCAAAATTTTTTTGTATGTGATAATTCTGAAAAATTCTATTAAAATACATGTTAATATTTTTCTTCGCATCTATCAATAAAATTCTTAATATAAATAAAAATTACACAAAAAATATGTTGTGTAAGATATGCATATATAAATATTCTTAAAAAAAAATATATTTAGAATAAAACAAAAAAAAAAAAAAAAAAGAGAAAATTAAATTATTGAAATTAAAAAATTCAAATTTTCAAAAACTTAAATTATATGTTAATTTTAAAATTACATTATATCTATTTAAAATTTTTAATGCTTCTACTTAGCCAAATATAATATATTTATTAATTCATTGTTTTTTTTAGTTTTAATATAATTAAATTATTTAAAAAAAGTGCTGTTGTATTATAATCAAGATGTTTTCTAGATGAAAATATAAAATATAGTTCAACAAATGGTATTAAAAAAATGTATTATTATAAATTTTTATAATATGAGAAAAATAAAAATATTACGACATTGTAAAACTACTATTATTATTTTTTTTTATCCCAAAATATCAATTTAAATTGTATCATTTTGTAATTTGAAAACCTACCTAACAAATTTGAATAAAAAATATTTTATCGAAGAAATCACCCTCGAGTTAATAGGTAATATTTTTTTTTTTTATGTTTCCCTTTTTTTCCCTTTCCTTTGTTTGAATTTAAATTTTTTTTTATAACACAGTTATCAACAAATTTATTTCATTTACTTTTTGAATTTTATTTCTCTTAATTTTTACGTTTAAAAAACATATTAATATTATTTATTTTATTTTATATCTTAATTAAATATAATTTGCAAGTAATTATGAATATATATTTATTATGTAAAACTGAAAATATTAAAAGAATAATTATAATTTTTTTTTTTTTATAAGACATTTTATTATATAAAAGAAAAATTACGTGTAAAATAAGCTTAAATTTTACATATTAAAAGTAATTCTTTTATATCACAATAATTAAATGTTTGTATTTTCTTTTCAAAAAAAAAAAAAAAAGAACATTACACTTGTAAAATTATGAAATTTCATTGAAGCATTATTATTATTTTATTTCTTTTCTTTTTCGTATATCTATATTTTATATATTAGGAGGAACAAAATAAATATATATTTTTAAGTAAAACTGTAAAACAGTTAATACTTCAATTAAGAACTTATTGAATATTCTTATAATTAATGTATGATCTCATATCATTAATAAAACATACATATGGTATTTTAATAAATAGCTATTAATTTAAAGTAATCTGCTAAAATTAGTTTGAATACATTATATAAATTTATGTAGGAAATTTCGGAATAAACTAAATAAAACAATTATAAATAACAGACAAAAAAAGAAAAAAAAAAAAAAAGTATATGATATAATAAAACTTCAAATTTAAAACAAAATTAAAACATATCATAAATTATATGATAAATTAATTTTTCATTAAAATTTTTATAATTTTGTGGTAAAAAGAGAAACAATATAATTAAATCAATGGTTATATTTTAATTAACAACAAGTGTTGCAATTTTCATTATCAAAGTTTATGTAATCAACTGGAATATATGAACTCGTTTTTTCTATCTTGTATTCATTGTTCATCTTTTTAATGGTAACGTTTTTTTTAATCTGAAATAAAAAAGAAATGATAAGAAATTAAGTTTCTAAATTTAGTATTTCCTATATTAACAAATATTTTTATCATATACATATATAAATAGTTATATTTGCTTTAATATATTACAGGAATAATAGGATCATGTAAATAGTTCTTATCATTTTCGTTATCCTTTGGTTTCATCTTTTTGACAATTGTGTGAGTCAAATATTCATTTTCAGAGGCATTTTCATCTTCTATATCATTTTTTATTATGTAATATCTTAAATAATCCATTTCTTCAGGAAAATGAAGAAAATCATCAGAACTCTTTTTTTCTTTATTTAAAATATCTTCATTTTTATCCAAAGAATTATTTTTTACTGAATATAAATATTTAAAAAAAAAAATTTTTTTGTTAAAATTTAAGAAACTATTGAAAAAAAATGTGTTAGAGAAAAAAATATAAAGGTATATATAAATAATTACAAAAAAAAAAGCATAACATATAATAGTACATTTTAGAACATTTCTTGTGTGACGTAAAGCTATATCCTTGTAATTATAACATAAATTATAAATTTTATTTTTCTTTAGATAAGAACAATTCAACTTAAGTAGCTCAACTGGATAACAATTATATGTTCCCTAAAAAAAAATAAAAAGGAAATTTTCTTGGTATATATACTTTTAAATAATTGTATCATTTTCATTTATTTATGTAAAAAAGTTTTAATTTTTTTTTCTGTCATATTAATTCATATTAAAATTAAAAAATTCTATATTTAAATTGTTTTTCTTTATTTTTTTTTTTTTTTTTTTTTTTTTTTTGGATACAAATATATAATATTTTATTTTCTTTATAAATATGAATTTTTGGTAAGAACAAATTTCTTTAACAATAATCTAATTCTATGTAAATATATACATGTGAATATAATTTTTAATTTAAATAATGAATATAAGCTAACATTTTCAAGCATGACATATACATAATTTTCCCCTATAAATTTTATAAATTTTCCTCTTCCCTCAGGAGCTATAACTTCATATGTATCATTAAATATTTCAGTCGTTTTATTTTTTTTTTTTACTTCTTCTGTTTTTGTTTCGTCACTATATTTGTTATCATTTTTTTGTTCTTTGTTTTTCTTTAAATTTTCTAATGAACTTTTATAGTAACATTTGGGATGTGACATATTATCAAAAATTTTAAAACTTTTATTATTTGTTATTCTTTCTAAACTATGTAGAGAATTTGAAATATTTGAATTCTTTGAAATAGAAGAAACAGAATAATCATAAATGATACTAAATTTGTTTTCATTTTTTGATGGTTTCTTATTAAAAACTATTCCGTGATCTTCATCACAATGTTTTATTACTGCATTAGCCATGTCATATTTATTACACATTTTTAGGTAATTTACAAAAATATCTTTTTTCTTTATGCTTTCCATATATATATAGAAACTTTTATATTAAACTTTAATATATATACTTAATTTCTTATAAATAAGAAAACAACTAATTTAAAGTGTATTTTAAGATCTTTGTTGTTGGAAAAAAGAATCAATAACAAATTGAAGTTAAATATACACAAATAAATTAAAATCAGTAAATTTTAAATATGGTAATGTAATTGCAAACAATACAATAATATATCCCTTTTATTAAAATAACAGAATATTTTTAAAATTAAATAATTAAATAAAAAATAGACAATACAAGAATATGTCCTTTTTATTAAATAACAGGTTATTCTTAAAATTAAACAATTAATAATATATTGCTCTTAAATAAAAAAATAAAAAAATAAAAAATAAATAAATAACTAAAAATATTCTTCATTTACATGACTTATTAATAAAAATATGCGTTTTTTTTTTTTTTTTTTTTTTTTTTTTTTAATCATAATATAATTATGTTTAAATAGCAATTGTTATATTATTTACAGGGAAATTTATGTATAAATTTATACTACAAAAAAAAAAAAAATTGTTTAATATTATTTAATTTATCTTTCAATTTTATAAAAACAAGTTGCTTATTTTAAGTAATATTATATTATTAAGTTATATTTCATTGTAAAATAAACTATTGAAAACGTTTCCTTAAATTATAAAATTTGATAAATTTATCTAATGCACACTTTACATTTAAAATAGAAAAAAATAAAATAAATGAGAATATGTTTTTATAATAATAAATAAAATAAATAACATGCATTAAATATATAATTTAATTTTAACATGATTTAAAAAAAAAAAAAAAAAAAAAAAATTAAGATTCAATGAAATTAGAAATGTTTTGTAGCCAAGACATATATTCTCTTTGTTCTTTATCAATACTGCATGAATCAATAAAATCACACAATTCTGAGTCTACTCCCAAATTAGCTAACCATTCATCAAGTGAAGTTTGTAATGAGTCATCCAAATCTTCAAATTCAGGTCCATTATATGATGACACAGAATTTTTTCCTTCTTCATTTTTATAATATTTGACGTTCCCTATCATATATCTAAATTTTTCATCATTCTGTAAGGTAGTACAATAAAAAGTGATACCTCCTTGTTTGTTTGGTTTTTCAACTGTTACTGAGAAATCGGTCATTTCTGCCTGAGCTTCATTTTCTCCTTCTGCTTGAAATGGAGAAACAAGCTGAAAATCAACAATAATTTTCATTCCATCTACATTTTTGGTCAACACCATATTTACATCTCCTTCTTGTTCCTCATATTTCCATCCTGATGTTTGTAAAAACTTTTTGATATTTTCTGGTGCTTCATAATTGGATTTTTCATGTTGTACCTCTGCTTTCACAACTTCCAACAATTTTTGAGATTCACTTGAAGAAAATGTTCTTTTATTAATAGCACTGAAATTTGTTTGTAACCTCTGATCATATTTTCCAATGTTGTTTATGTTTGTAATTTTTCTTTTATTTAAGTTGGCCAACCTATTTACAGAATTGCTAATCTGCTTATTAAATGGTTTACTTTTAGATAAATTTACAGTATTTCTAAATATAAAATTCATTTTTTTAAAGAATATGTTTCAATAAAATATATGGATTTTTAAAGAGCTTAATTTAAAATTTAAAAAACTATTAATATCCAAAAAAAAATTATTTAATTTATTAAATATTTTAAATTGATATTTTTATTATTTTAAAATAATAAAGCAAAAGCTTACAAATTATAGTTATTTTGTTTTCTTTTTTTTAAATAAGGAAAATAATGTTTTATAATAAAATTATCTACTCATATTTTTTTTTTAAAGAAAAATTTTATTCAAATGAAAATTTTTTTTTGAAGATATGCTTTTTTTTTCTATTTTTACATATTTTTATATTTTTTCATTTTAATTAACATCCATTTAAAAAAAAAATCACATATGTATGTATATTCAAGTACTTATGTAATAAAGCAAACCCGAAATTTATAATGAATCTGTATTTTAAAAATTTTTTTTATAAGGTTTTTATTTAAATAAAAATGAGATAAAATGAAAATATTTTTCTATTAATATAATAAATTTATGTAATTTATAAAATATATCTTTATTTTTAAAAAAAATATATTATTTATATTTGTATCGTATATTTAAAAAAAAAAGGTTATTCAAAAAAATGTTTATACATACATTTTGCATAGAAAATATAATTTTAATAAAATAATATTTCGTTTGTTAATATTATTTAGGTAAAAACAATGACAACGTAAGTGTATTATAAGATTAAAATTTAATTTTAATTTTTAAATTTAACATATATTTATTATATATTTTAATTAAAAATAATATTTAATAATATAACAAAATATATAATATTTATATATATTTTTACAGAGTTTTTATTTTACATATAATTTTTTTTAATAAATGAAAATTTTGTTTTTAATGAGAACATTTTTATAAGAATAAAAATATGTAATACGTTAATTTAAAAAAAAAAAAAAAGAAAATTACAAATATTTATAAATGTATAACAAAGTATTTATTCATCGTATAATTGATTAAATGGGAATCTATGTAATTTTATATGAAGTTTTTTTTTAATTAAAATTTATATATAGGAACACTTTTTCAATACAAAAAAAAATTTTATAAAAAACAGTATAATTAATTTACATATATATATATATATATATATGTATATATATATGCCTATTTGAGAATTTGAAATTCATAAAATGATAAAAGTATTTATTTTATAGAAAAAAGTTGTATTTTTTTTTTTTCATATTCTCTGTTAAAGTATTAAAATGAACGAATTGTAAAATTTTATATAGATTTTATATATGCCAATTTATAATTTAAAAAAATCTATGCAAATTTACATATATATTCTAACATTTTTTATGATAAATTTTATTCTAACTTTTTATATTTTATCTATGTAGAATTAAATATTGATTCGTATTTTAGTTTATTTTTTCCTTATAAATTATTTATTGAAAAGACAAAATTAGTATAAAAAGAAATAAAGGAAAAACAAAGAAAGTATTAGCTAGTATATTAAAATTATAATAGAACACAGAGAAAAATATATATATATATATATATAAATTTAGCAATTACCAAGGATCAAGTATTTTTTTGTGGATTTCCAAAATAAATATATATATTTAAACAAATAAATTATATAGTAGTATATTTCCTCATAAGCTGATATGTTTTAGAAAATGTTACAAGAAAGAGATTTAGCAAGAGAACCATGCCCTGATAGAATAATAGAAGATATGGGTGGGGCATTTGGTATGGGTTGTGTAGGGGGTTATATATGGCATTTTTTAAAAGGTGCAAGAAATAGTCCAAAAGGAGATATATTAAGTGGAGCTTTATATAGTAGTCGTATGAGGGCACCAATTTTAGGTGGGAACTTTGCTGTTTGGGGAGGTACATTTAGTTGTTTTGATTGTGCTTTCCAATATGTAAGAAAAAAAGAAGATCACTGGAATGCCATTGGTAGTGGTTTTTGTACAGGTGGAGTTTTAGCTATGAGAGGAGGATGGAGATCTGCTTCAAGAAATGCTATTGTTGGAGGAGTCTTGCTAGCCATTATAGAAGTAGTCTCTATTGTACTAACACGTAAGACTACCCCAACACCCAGACAACAATTTCAACAACAAATGGAGATGGAAAAAAGAATGGCTTCAAAAAATAATAAATAATAATTTTATTTTTGCATACATTTAAAAATTGTTGTAATATTTGTGTTTTTTTTTTAATTTTTTCCTTTTTTTTTTTTTTATTTTAATTAATATATATATATATTTATATAAATCTTTAATTAATAAATTTTTTTTTTTTTTTTTTATATCCAGCTATGGAGCTTTTACTACGCATATTTAATTTTATATACATTTTTTTTAAATATTAATTTATAGGTTCCTATTCATATTATTTTATTTATATACATTTTTTTTTTATATATTTCCATTTTAATTTTATATTTTACTATGTTTTACTATTTTTAAATAACAATTTATATTATCCTATATTATTTTTGTTTTATTTTTAATTGAAATTTATAATTATTTGTTATGTCTTAGTATCACATGTTTATAATATATATATATATATATATATATTTTTTTTTTTTTTTTGTCATAAAATTTAACGAAAATTTTATAAAAAATTTACAAAAAAAATGCAATTAAAAATTATAGAAATATTTTCTGTCTACTATTTTTTATATAAGTTTGTTTTAAAATTAAATTTTATGAATCATAATTTTTTCAAATTAACCTTTTATGTTGTGAAGAAGGTTTTGTACTTTTTAATTTTATTGTTATTTGATGTTTTTACAATTTTTTTTTTCAGAATTAAATAAAATAGGAATTAAAACCAATAAAAAATTAAATAAAATTAATTAATGAATACATAAAATGGTGTATAAAATTTATTTATATGATATTTAAAAATTCGTTTATAGTACGTGTCTGAATTTTTAAAAAATTAATGTATATATGTATATAAGAAAATCAAAATAGTTTTAACTATGTTTCAATAAAAAATAAAAGTATTATAATAAAACAAAATATTATTTTTCTGAAAAGGTAAAAATAAAAATTATATTCTTATTTTTCATTTATATGGTAAAATAAATGCAGAATTTTTTTTATACTTTATAGGAAAATATGAAAAAAAATATTTTTTAAAAAAAGAATAATGAAATAAACAAAATTTTAAACTTTAATAACATTAACATATATTATTCCTTTCAACACTTTAAATCATATTTAAATTGTTAAACCATATTAATAAAATTGTAAATTTTTTATTTTATAATTTTTTCTTATGAGTTATGCTGATTAAAAATCAGGTCCTCTTGATAAAACTTCTTTACATGTAGGTCGTAACAAAATAGTGTGCTCCATTTGAGAAGTATATGAATTTTTTATATCACATAAAGGGGGATAAGGTTCAACAATATTTAAATCTACTAAAGTTTTTAAAGCCATAAAATGTCTTGTTTGTCCTAAGTCATCTAGCCATCTACGACAGAAAGGTAATGTATCAAAATTATCATTAATAACTTTTAATAAAGATTTAGCTGAGTTCAACCTAATAGGAACAAATTGCTTGTCTGGATTTCTCATATAATGAGAACATTCATTTTCGTGAGTAACATAACCTTTCCCAGTTGATGCAAAAGTTTCAATAGCAAATAATTCACCTTCTTCCATAATTTCATTTTTCTCTTTCTGCTTAACAATAGGTACACATTTTCCTCCATGTATTATATATTTATTAATGGAATGACCTCTTAAGTTGCTAATAGCTTTAATCGGATAAATTTTTTGATTCAATTCTATTTCATACGATTCTATAGCTTCTTGAATAGCTTCTCCAATGTCACACATTCTTGCATCTATTCCTGCTTCTTTTATACCTGTGTTTGTTCCATCCTGAGTAGCTTTAATAAGATTATCATATTTTTCGTTAAATGCTATTGTAAAAGCACAATCAATTATATATCCATTAACATGTACTCCGAAATCTAGCTTACATACATCATCATATTTTAAAACAGTTTCATCTCCATAATTTGGTGTATAATGTGCCGCACAATGATTTAAAGAACAACCTGTGGGAAATCCCCAACCACATTTTAATTTTTGTGCTAAAATTAATTCTTTTGTTTTTCTCTCTGTTGCTTGAACAATGTCTATCATTTTTTTTCCTGGTTGAATATATGTTTGAATATATTTTCTAACCTGCCTATGACACTCTGCAGCTTTTCTTAAATCTTCATAATAATCCATACTTATTTTTTCTCTTTCCTTTTTTTCTTGTAATGATTTTCCACTTAATACATACTTATAATCTAATATTTCACCAACAGGATAATTTTGGTTTTGAAATAATAACTCAATTGGTACTGTTGGCGGATTAGTTTGGAAACTTTTTTCAACTTGTGGCCAATTTTTTAACAATCTTATATGACTATTATTTTGCTCCTCTATAAAATTTTCTTTTAATACTATGTTTTTTTTTATTTTTTCTATATCATAATCCTCTTTATCTTCTTTTTTTTCATTTTTTTCCACTTTTTCTTCTTTTTCTTCATTTTTTTGAATGTCATTTACATTTATTTCATTCTTAAATTCACTTAATATTAAATCTAATTTATCTATTTTTTTTTTGTTTTTATTCTTTTTATTAGATTTGTTTTTATCATCATTAATATTATTATTTTTTTTACTTTTATCACTCTTGGAATTTTTTGTATTTTTATTATTATTAATGTTATTCACATTTTTCTTATTATTATTATCTAAATTAACACCTCCACTTTTTTTAACCTCATCATTCATGTTTTCATCTTCTTTTTTTTCAACAGAATTTTGAATTGCGTTATTTGCTTCTTTTTCATTGGTATTTATAATTTGTTCATTTTTTTCCTTAATTACATTTTCCATTATTTCTTTTTTATTTATATCTTTTATTTTGTTTGATTCATTATTTGAGATTGTTTTTTTCTTCACATCTATATTTTTATTTTTTTTTTCTACTTTTTTGTTTGATTTATTCATTTTTTTTATTAACTTTTTTGAGTATACTTCTATTTTAAATATCTATTTTTGTTTCATTAATAATATTTTAATTATTCTTATCTATTGCTTTAATTCTTATTTAATTATTTTTTTAGTATTATAATAATGAATAAAAAAAAATTATTTTAAATGCAATACATATCAGCATATTTCTCTTTATTTATTATTTTTTTTTTTTTTTTTTTTTTTTTTTTTTTTTTCGTTTTATTTTTTTTTTTTTTTTTTTTTTTTTTTTTTATTTCGTATTAATTTTTTTTCTATCTTTATTTTTTATTATTAAATATTTTTTGACGCTATTTTTAAAATTTTTACTTATATTTGTTTTATTTATTTTTTATATTTTTAATTAATATTTTTATAAATATATAACTAATTGTATGTTATTTTTTATTTTATTCATTTATAAGAAATTTACAAATGTTGTATTTTATTCTTATGAGAATTTGAAATATTTTTTTATTAAACTTTTTTTTATAAAAGAATAAGATTATATGGAGAAAATATATTGTATAAATGTTATAAAAAATGTTATAGATTTGATAATTTCAGTATATTTGCGTAAACAACAAATTTATTTAAGTAATATATAAATTTTTGTTTTACAAGAATTTGTTTTACCAATTTTTACTGAATATCATAATATAAGAAAAAAAAAATTTATATATTTTAATCAAATTTAAAAATTTTTTTTAGTTAATTCAATAAATTATATGCAAAGAATTAATATTAACTTTTAGCTTTTTTTATAAGTATTTTCATTGTTAATACTTTTTAATCTTTCAAAACAATATAAAAAAAAAAAAAAAAAAAAAAAAAATATAGAATAACATAAAAAATGAAATAAGAAATATTCTTGTTTCATTATTGTAAAAATTTTTTTTTAATTAGTTTTAATATATTATACAATTATTTATTTTGTCAAACATATTTTAAGCAAACATATATATATATATATATATATTAATTAATTTAAAATATTTTAACAATGACAACGGTAGAATATAAATATACATTTCTTTGGTCTACAGAAATAATAAATGAATTAAAAAACAGAAAGAAAAATGTATGTAAAAATAAAAGTTTTAAAAGTGATGTAAATGAGAAAGAAGAATTATCGACAAAGGGAAAAATAAAGTGTACTTGCGGGAAATACAAGTATATTAACTATATTTATAAGAATTGTTGTATTATTCAGAAGTATAGCTATCATAAAATATATACTCGTAAAATTAAAAGTGAAAATTCGAAAAGCTTAAGCAAATATATGTATTTAAAAAGTAGCAATAATGCAAATCAAAAAAAAATAATGGATAAGATTAAAAATACTAATGAAAATAAAAAAATAGATGAAACTAAAAAAAAAGAAATAAAAAGTAGTATAAGAATATGTTTTAATAATTTTGATAATAAATACAAAAGAGATTTAGTAATAACAAAAATATTGATATTAACTTTGTTTGATCCACCTTTATTAAAAATATCTTTAAAATTTTTTAATTTTTTAATGATATCTATTTTAAATCAAATATTCAAAGAATTACTTTTGTTATCAACATATAATTATTCTATGACAAATGATAATGAAAGAAATGAACAAAGAATAAATGATAAACTTATAAATGTTAATAGTAAAGATATGAATAAATTAAAAAACAAAAACACAGATAAAAAAAATATAGATAAATTAAATAATAAAAATAGAAGTATGCCTCTTTTATATATATATGATTTTATTAAAAATTTTAAGATAGATAAAGAGATTTATTTTTGTATGATATGCTTGAATAGCATATTATTTAGTAAAGAATTATTTTATAAAAATACGATTGACTACTTTTTCAAGGAAGTTTTACCAAAATCTATATTCTGTTATAATTATTTTAAAGGGATAGTAAGAAAATATTTAGAAGAAAAAAATGATAACCATTGTAGGTGTAACATCTATTATATATATTGTATTAAAATTCTATTGATTTATTATTATTTGACTATAAATAATATACTTGATAAAATGTATTTAAATTTATTATCACATTTTTTAAAATGCAAAAACCCTTTTTTTGAATCATTAATTTATTTAATATATTTAAATTATTATGGAATTCATAATTATTCTAAAGGAAATTATTTAAAAGATAATATTTTTTATAATTACATTCAGAATAACAAAAAAAATAGCATCTTTGATAAAAATAAAGAGAAAAAACATAAGTTATATATAAGTAATGGAGCAAATAAAACTACTTGCAATTATTTTTATGAAAAAGAATTTTCACAAGTTGAAAAAAATTACTATGATCATAAAAATATTTATAATATATTACTAATGTATGATTATAATATAAAAGACTTAGAATATTTATATATAGAAAAATTCCGTTCTAATATAATAGAAAATAAAATTATTAAATATTATATAAATATTGAATCAGTGTTATATCCAACCTTCGAATTAAAAACAAAAAAAAATGCAATTTTGTTAAAAAATGAATATAATTTTATTATTACAAGAAGACTTAACATAATAATTGAAACATTAATAACAAATATTTATAATAAAAAACCAACAATTTTAATAGGAAATCAAGGTTCTGGAAAAACATCATTAATAAATTTTATATATAAAAAAATATATGGAACAAAAAATGAAACGGAAAATATTATAAGTTTATATCTGGATGATATATCAGATTCTAAATCAATTTTAGGAATATGGGAAAGTAATGAAAAGTGTTTTGAATTTAAATATGGTATATTGACAAAAGCAATGAAGAATGGGAATTGGATAATTTTTGAAAATATTAATAATATTTCTAATAGTGTAATAGAAAAGCTACATGAATTAACGAGTAAAGGGTATATATATTTATCAGAAAAAGGAGAATACATTTATCCTCATAAAAATTTTAGATTATTTTCGACTGTAACTGTAAACATTGATTATATCAATATGAATAATTTAAATAATAAATACTGTGAAGTTGATAATATAAATAATGAAGAAATGAATGAATTTATATTAATGAATCATAGACCTCATAATTTAACTAGTTTATTCAACAAATGGCATAGTGTTTTTATTGGGAATTATAGTAAAAGTGAAATAAAAGAAATTTTATTTAAGACGTTAAATAAAATTAACGATAATTATAAAAATATACTTCTGGATTGCTATAATACCATTAAAACAGACTTGGAAAAATATCGAATATTAAGGAATATTAACCTACATGATTTAATGAAAATTACAAATAGAATAAATAAAAAGAAAATATTTATGTACGAAAATGAAAAAACAAAGATATTTCTATTTCAAACTTGTAAATCTATTTTAATTTCTCATATACCTAATATTAATCTAAGACACAATTTTTTAATTAAATTAATTAAGTTATTTAAATTAGATAAAGACAACGTTACAGAATATATAAAATCATATTCACTTAATACATTTATAAATGAATTTAATGAAACGTTAAAAAATAAATATCCAAAAATAAATGTTAATTTTGACAAAATTTATAATTATTCTTTTTTATTAACATCTGTTCATAAATCTATAATTTATGAAATAATTGAAGGTATATATAACAAGGAAAGCGTATTATTAATAGGTGATACAGGAGTTGGAAAAACAGCATTAATAGATTATATATCGAAAATTTTTGAAAAGAAATTACATGTTTTCGTTTTTAGTGAACAATCAGAATCTTCCGATTTAATTGGAAACTATTATCCTTTTAATATAAGTGCTAAAACAAATGAATTATTTGAAGAACTAAAAAGTTTAAATAGTAAATTGAGTTATATTTGTAAAAAAGAATTAAGTTTATTTTATTTAAAATTAAGAATAATATTAAGCGAAAAGAAATATATTACATTTTTGAATACATGCTACAATTATGTAAAATACGTTATAGAAAATATAAAAAAGAATGCAAAAATATTTGATATGAAAACTATAAAAAAATGTAAAGCTTTTTTATCAAATTGTAAAAATGTAATTAATTTTTGGTGCACTAATAACGGTAATTTAAATAAAAATTATGCTTTAAATTATAATTTCGAACAAATTCTCGTAAAAAATGGAAACATAGAAGAAAAAGAAGATACTAATAATATCCAAAATAATAGAAATAGGGAAATAAAAAAAAATATTAACGAAGATGATATGAATGAAGAAAAAAGTGATAAAAAGATGAATGAACTAATTTTTAAATTTCATGACGGTATTTTAATTGATTGTATAAGAAATGGTTATTGGCTTTTATTAGATGAAATAAATTTAGCTCAAACAGAAATATTGCAGAGATTACAAGGGTTACTAGATTCATCAAATAAATATTTTGATGTTATTGAAAAAGGAAATGAAAAAATAAAAATTCATGAAAATTTTCGATTATTTGCTTGTATGAATCCACCTATAATTCCAAATTTAAGAAAAATTAAAGAAAAAGATATACCAAATGACTTAAAAAATATTAATTCTGATGGTAACAATAAGGATATTAACAATAATTATATTAATTTGGATACAAATGTAGAAAATGATATTGATTTATATAATAGTACTATATCTGCTGGGAAAAAAGAATTACCATTTATTATTAGAAATAAATTTACTGAAATATTCGTTGATGAAATTTTAGAGTATGATGATGTTGAAATGATAGTAAAATATTTTTTAAAAGATGTAACATGTGATAATGTGTTAATAAAAAATATTACTAATTGTTATTTAGAAATTAAAAAAGAAAGTTTAAAAAATATGAATAACTCAGAAAATAAGCAAATATCTTTTTCTACAAGAAATTTAGTTAGAGCAATAAATTATGCTATATATGTTCATAAGAGAAAATTTAGGCCTTTACCTTTACAAACTGCTATTAATCATGGTTTTATTTGTAATTTTTTAAGTTGTTTGAATTATGATAATCAAAAAGTCATAGAAAATATTTTTAATAAATATTTTAAATATGCGCAACATGGAAATGCTGAAAAACGGGATAATACCATGAATATCGAAAAAAATGGAATTATAAATTATAGTATGCTTGAAAATTATTATCAATATAAAATTTATGATAAGAAAAAAGGAAGAGAAGAAAATGAACAATATATAAATAATTTTAACGAAATAAAGAATACTGATAATTTTAAGAATGATATAACTAAAAATAAAGAGAAAGAAAAATACGCATGTATAGAAAATAGTTGGATTTTATGTGGAAATGAGCAAATAAATTTAAAAAGTATATTATCCAATTTTATAATCACAAAAAGTGTAAAAGAAAATATAAAAAAATTAGCTTTATGCTTAAGTGGAATAAAAACACCAATTTTGTTAGAAGGAAATACATCTGTTGGAAAAACCTCATTAGTGAAATTTTTTGCAGATATAACAGGTCATAAATTTATAAGAATTAATAATCATATGAATACAGATATAAACGAGTATTATGGTCAATTTGTTAATGATAAAAATAGTGGCAATTTAATATTTGAAGAAGGTATATTTGTGAAAGCCGTTAAAAATGGATATTGGCTTGTTTTAGATGAATTAAATTTAGCTCCCTCAGAAGTTTTAGAATCATTAAATAGAATTTTAGATGATAATAAAGAATTATATATTCCTGAATTAAAATGTTATATTAAAGCCCATAAAGATTTCATGCTATTTGCTACTCAAAATCCTGCAAATAATAGTTATATTGGAAGAAAGGAACTATCTAAAGCATTTAGAAGTAGATTTATTGAATTTCATATTAGTGATTTTAAAATAGAAGAATTAGAAATAATTCTACACAGAAGATGTACGATTTCTCCAAAAATTTCAAAAAAAATGATAAATGTATATACTGAATTGAAAAATGTAAAATCCAATTATAATTATTTTAATGACAACTTAATGACATTAAGAGATTTAATTAAATGGGGAAATAGATATCCTAATAATAACTTAGAAGCAGCTCTACATGGATACTATATCATTGCAGAAAAATTGAGAAATGAAAAAGACAAAGAAACTGTTAAAAATATATTAAGTAAGAATTTTTTAAAAAAACAGGAAAAATTTGTAATTGACTATGAAAATGATGAAGATGTAAAAAGTTTGAAAAATTATTTTTTAGAAAAAATTTCTCTAATAAAGAATTTTAAAAAAATTAAAAAATGTAAATTAGAAAATAATTGTATTTATAATAATAACATTAAAGATTCTTTAGATAACAAAAAGGACACCAAGATATGCTCCTTAAATCTACATGATAATAACATTCATGATTATAGTTATGACGATATAAAAAGATTTCAATATTTACAAAATATGTATTTTGGTAAAAATACATGCAGAATTATTTGTTTATTGTTAAAATGCTTTAAATATAAGGAATCTCCATTATTAATAGGAGAAACAGGATGTGGAAAAACTACATGTTGTGAATTATTAAGCTTTGTTGAAAATTTAAAATTAAATATTTTAAATTGCAATGAAAGCACTGATGTTTATGACATAATAGGTAGTTTAAAATTAACAAAAAATAAGAAAGAAGATTATGATAAATTAAAAAAAAATTGTATTGAATTATACAATGAATTTTCTAAATATTATGAAGATAATTATATTTCGAATTATTTAAGTGGTATTATTTATGAGAAATTTTCTGACATTAAAAAAGAAGACTTTTTAATATTTAATCTTTATTTACAAAAAAAATATAATTTAAATGAAAATATTAAAAGAAAATTGACGAAAATGGAAAGATCAGTTAATAATCTAAAATCTGTTTTTACATGGTTTGATGGAATACTAGTATCTTCTTTAAAAAAAGGAAATATATTTTTGATGGATGAAATATCTCTGGTTGAATCGTCTGTTATTGAAAGACTAAATTCAGTCTTAGAATATGAAAGAACATTATTACTAACAGAAAAAGGAGGAAAAAATATTAAAAATATAAAAGCACATAAAAATTTCTATTTTATAGGTACTATGAATCCATGTGGTGATTTTGGAAAAAAAGAATTATCTCATGCATTAAGGAATAGATTTACGGAAATTTTTGTTAGTAATTTTTCATTTGATTCTAATGATTTTTATTTTTTAATAATGAAACAAATAACTTTCACAAAAGAAAAAAATATTAAATGTGAAATCACCAAGTATATTTGTCAAATATTTCAACAAGTATCAAGTAACAAATCTTTATCGTCTGTAACTCTTTCTATAAGAGATTCTATTAAGTGGGTTACTTTTATGAATACATATGTGAATAATAGAAAAAAAATTTATAAAGAAAAAAATCATGCGTTAAAAATACCAATAAATATATTAAAAAGTTATTGTATACGTAGTTTTTATCACAGTGGATGCCTAATATTGATTGATGGGAATGAAGATGTAAAAATAAAAGAAATTTTAAAAAGCATATTAATAAAAGTTATAGAAAATTTATGTTTATCTATTAAATATAATATGAAAGAAAAGGAAACAATAATGAACTTTTACCATGAATCTTATAATTTTATATTTAAAAAAAAATATCTAAAAATGAATGACCTTCATATCAAATTTAAAAAAAATTTCGATTGTGATTTAAATAAATTTTCTAAGAATTCTCATTTTGTATTTAATACACCAAATATTAAACAAAATTTATTTAAAATTGTTCGAGCAATGCAGTTAGATAATTCTATTTTAATTGAAGGATCACCAGGTGTTGGAAAAACATGCATTGTAAATATATTAGCAAAATTAACCAATAATAAATTAATTCGAATCAACTTATCTGAATGCACAGATATCTATGATTTTATAGGATCCTACTTTCCTATCAAAGATATAAAAAATGAATCAAATAAAAAAAAAAGGAAAAATAACAAAGAAATACTGGAAAATAAAGAAGAAAATAAGGATGAAAATAATACTAATGAAATGAAAAAAAAATTTCAGTATTGCTGGAAAGATGGAAAACTAATTGAATGCATGAAGAAAGGCTATTGGATACTAATAGATGAAATAAATTTAGCTAACCAACAAACATTAGAAGGTATTAATTCTATTTTAGACCACAGAAAAGAAATATTTATACCTGAAACTAATGAAATTGTTAAGAGTCATGAAAATTTTCGATTATTTTGTTGCCAAAACCCATATAAAGAAGGAGGTGGAAGAAAAGGATTACCAAGATCATTTTTAAATAGATTTTCGAAAATATATTTTGAAGAATTAAATGAAGAGGATTATCTTTGCATTGTTGAAAAATTATATGGTAATTTTCTTTCTTTAGATATAATAAAAAAAATTATAAAATTAATCTTTATAATAAAAAAAATTAACATATTATTAAGTGATAGTGAGTGTTGGATATGGAATTTAAGGGATATTTTAAGAATATGCAAATTCATTAAGAATAAAGTGGCGTTAAATAATTTTTTTACAATATGTGATATGCTAATATGTAATAGATTAACCAATAGTGAAGATAAAAACATTGTAAGGGTTATCATAATAAATATATATTGCAATAATGAAGATTTTATTAATAATATATCAGAAGTTTCAACTAAAGATAATTTAGTTAACCTTATTAATAGTAGTAAAAATAGTTCTTTATATTATAATTTTATTAATTCTTTTAATTATGATGAAAAATATTTTTCATATGAAAATTTACTTATAAAAAAATATCAAAAGAACAAAAATGTTTCGAATGATATTTCTTCCATTTTATCAAAAGATGAAAAAATTTTTTATGGATGTTTATCAGCTATTAAACTAAATATTCCTATTTTATTATGTGGTAAAAATAATTCAGGAAAGTCTTCTTTTGTACGCACATTGTCATCTATGTTCAAAAAAAAACTTTTTGAATTTTCATTAACTAATGATATTGATACATTTGATTTATTTGGTTGTTATGAACAAAATAGTAAGAGCAATGCAATTATTAAATTTGAAAAACAAATAAATAAATTAAATAAGCTAGTTTTAAAAATTATTTTTAAAAAAAAAAATTTAATGATTTTTTATTCCAATTATTTCGGTAGAAAAGTAAGTAATCCTTTATTTTCAAAAAATCATAAAAAAAAAAAACTCAATAAAATAAATACAAGTAGACAAGTTATGCATATCAAAATAAATATAATGAAAAGGTTAAATTCTTTATCAAATAATTATGTAAAGAGTTTAAAAAATAATAAGAAAAATAATTTAAAAAAAATTCAAAATAGTTATACAGAATTTATAAATAGTTGTAACAAATGTGAGCACAGTGAGAGAATAAATAATATTCTGTCAAGAATAAATTATATGTGCAATATTATAAATACAAATCAAATTAATGAGAATGTTTATATTTATAATGAAGGTAACTTTATTAAAGCTATTAAAAATGGATACTGGATATTGTTAAAACACTTACATTATTCTACTCCATCTTTGCTAGATAGATTAAATAGCCTTTTTGAAGAAAACGGATACATACTACTTCATGAGTTTGGAAAAAAGAAAAAAATTAAACCTCACAAAAATTTTCAAATTTTTTTAACATTAAATTCAGAAGAACATTATAAAATTAGTAAGGCATTACGAAATCGCTGTTTTGAAATATATTTTGGAATAAAAAACGAATATACCAATAATGCACTAAATATTGATAATCATTTATGCAACAACCCTTTTTATGGAAATATGTGTGAAACATTATATAATGATAAATGTAATATGTATGAGAATAGTTATGATGAAGTTTCATATAGTAATTTAATAAACTATTCAAATAATAATTGTATGAATTTACATTATAAAAATAACAAAGATAATAGTAGATTAATTAATTCAGTTGATGATTCCAATTTTTATAGTAATTTCCTTTTTCATTTAATGAACTTATGTTATAATTTTCAAAATAATCAATATAATAAAGAAAAATCAATTAATAACAAAAAATCGAAGGAAGATTATTTAAAGTTAATAAAAGAAAATAATTTGTTTTTCTATATAATAAGCAGTTTTTTAAAAAATATTAAAAAAGCAAAAAATGATAAAATTACAAGTGAATTAATTTATTTTTTTTTTAATAATGATATAAAAATTAATTTCATAAAAATACTAGATTATATAAATTATTGTTATAATTCATTTAATGCTAATGGGACCAAATGTAATAAAGATGTAGTATGTTTTTGCATAATAATATCTTTGATATCTTTTATTATAGAATATATACTTGATGAAGAAACGATAAAGGAAAAAAAGAAGAATTTAAACAAGATAAATGATAATAATATGTTTAGAAATAATTTAAATATATTATTAAATTACAAATTAGAAAATAATTTATATTACATAGATATATTTATTAATTTAATTTGTACCAATTTTTTGCTACTAAAAAATAATAATGAAATAAATTTAAAAAAATGGAAATCCATTTTTTTAAGATCATTTGGAAGTTTTTATTGCGGAATATTTTCAAAGATTAGTGAAAAAGTTCAAATATTTTTTTATCCTTTTTTTAATTTCTTGAATAATGTTTTAGTTAGAATAATATATAATTTAAAAAGGAAGCTTGAAAATTTTATAAAAAATAGAAGTATAAATAATTTATTAATACGTAATATAAACAGGGGAAAATTAGTTCATAAAATATCTTCCAAATATTTCATTTATTTTTATTTTCATATATTTATAAATTATATTTATAATTATAACAAAATATATGAAAAAGAAACCTTTTTTAATAAAAATCAAAACCAAAATTTATGTATACTGAAAGAAGTGACATTAATTAATTCATTCTATAAATTGAAGTTAAATAAAATATTCTGTTATTTAGTATATTGCTTTATGGAAAATTTTTCTATTTACGATATTTTTTATAGATACTATTATTTACTTAACATAAAGAATAAAATTGTTATAAAAAGAAAAACATTAAGAAGAGATTATTATGATAAAAACGTAGAAAGATATCTTAATTTTATTACTAATATTATTTTTAAGAAATTGGTAAACTTTAATATAGTAAACAACTATATATATAACATAATATATAAAGAAAGAACAAATAATAATGAGTATATAATAAAAAACAAAAAAAATAATAAAAATGAGGATAATAATATAAAGTGGAGTAAATTAAGAAATTTTATAAAACCATTACTTATTGCCAAAAATTTTCTCTTAAATAATTTTAGTTTAGGACTATCAAAAGTTTTATATTTCTTTGAAGCATTTTTGAAATATAACTTTAGTTATAACTTTTTTATGAAGAATAGAAGTAACAAGAGAAAAAAATGCTTAATTTTTTATAATATGAACAAATTTTTGATTCATGTAGAAAATTTTATTTTCAACTTGATAGATAAATTCAGTAATGTAATTAATAAGGATATATTCAATTATTATGTTTTCATTTATATATTTGCTTTTGAAATGATATGTAATAAAAATTATTCAAAAATCTATAACCAAATTATTTTCCTAAAAGATACTTTAAAATTTCTTTTTGAAAGTAACAGTTTTAATAAAAATAACGTTAAATTAATGAAATTCTTGAATAATTCAAAATTATTAATTGAAAACAATTTCAATTCTCCAAATATTTACAGTATCATTGATTTCAGAGAAAAGAATAACTTTCATAATAATTCTAATTCTAATGAACATAATAACAAATTATTCATGCATTGTAATAAAAAGAGTAGCTTGAATTATTTAAATATACATTTTAATGATAAGTGGATTAAGAATATCTTTGAAATTATAAACAATATATATATTAGTTATTTTATATATATTAAAAATAGAAATAATTGCATATCTATCCTATTAAATCTTCCTACATATGGAGATAATTCTAGAACTATTAGTGATTCGAATAAAAATGAAGACAAAAATGTTAACACATACACAGAAAATTTTCTTATTCAGACAAAATCCTTTTCTCATTCTTTGAAATTTTTACAAAATGAAAATGAAAATTATAAAATTAAAGATATAGAAAGTTTAATTTTAAAAAATTTAATAGATAAAAAGGAAATATTAAAAATGAACTTGAATTCATTTGAGTTAAATTTTTCATTAATAGATGATATTAATAATATTTCTAAAAGATACGTGAGAAGTGATAACACTATATATAAAAGCCATGAGTTGTTGTTTTATTATGAATTTATTATTTTCAACATAAACTTAAAGTATTTATATAATTCATTTATATATTTACTTAATATATATATGCATTTAAAATATATGAACAACGAAAATAGTAAGCATAATATAAGAAACAACATAAAGATTGATTTAACTATTGAAGAAATAGATAAGATAAATAATAACAGTATTTATGTGAATGTGAAAAATATTTTAAGTAAAATATACACTTATTTAGAAAATATAGATAATACAATTTTTATATTTGAAGAAAAAGTTGAAATTTTAAGTTTATTAAAAGAAAAATATGGAAGTATTGAATATGCTGAAAAAAGCTTAAAAGATGAAAAAAATGTAAATGATTTCAGTACAAATGTAATATTTATTATTATTGAAGAAATTTTATATATAGTTTACTCATTTTTAATGAATGTTTATTTGTTAAGAGATGAACGTTATAATTATGCTAAACAAAACATTAACAAAGTGAATGAAAAAAACTACCCTATAAATGATAGAAAAGCAGGTGAATTATCTTACAATGTTAATGATAAAATACCAGAAAAATGTATTACAGAATTCACTTACAAGAAAAATGAAATGACTTCTTCAAATAAAATAAATAGGAACAATAGTCAAAATGTTATAGAAAAGGTAAATAAACAAATTGAAAACATAGTCATTACATATGAAGAATACACAATATTTAAAAATATTTATATAAATGAAAATTACAAAGATGTTACTACACATAAATTTTATTCTTATTTAAATTCATCTCTATTTAATAAAACAGTGATATTTGATTCTGTTATAAATATTTACAAAGAAATGAAAAAAAATAAAGTGACATTATTTTATTTAAATAGTAGCAATTTTATTTTTAAAAATTTAAAAAAAAATTATTATGATTATGTAACAAAATTTCTATTTAATGACATTAACCAAATATCAGACTCCAATTCGATACATATAACTGACAAAAATTATATAAATTCAGCCAACAAAAATTCTTTATGTTATTTTTTTATTTTCTATATATTTACTATATTTTTTAATATAATGAATAATTTTGAGAATCAAAGTATTGATAAGAATAAGTATTTCTGTCATTTTCATGAGATATACAATATTATAATTTATAAAAAAGAAGTATCTGTTGAAATAATCTTGTATTTATTAGAATTATATAAATATTTTTTTAAATTGAAAGAAGAAATTAAATTTAGTCAGAAAATTCAAAAGTATATTTTTGTTTTATTATTTCTTCTTTTTAAAGCAGTAAAGAAGAATTTTGAAAAATGGAATAAAAAATATATTTTAAAAACTGATAATATGAGAAATAGTACGGAAGATATTAATTGTGGAGGATTACAATTTATTATTAGTAATGGTATATTAATTCAAGAAAATGATAATAGATTGAATAAAAAAAATAACCAAAATATTATTAATAGTGAAATGAATACAACAAATTTATCAAAAAATTTAGATAATGAAGCAAACTTTAATATATATAAATGTATGAATAAAAGTTCAGTAAGTAATTATAATAATCGCACGGGAATCAATAAAAATAAATTAAAATATGATTTTGATTATAAATACAGTAGCATATATAATTATATAAAGAAAAATAATAAAATAACTATAAAAGAATTTGATGAAATTTTAGAAATATTATTTTCTGAAAATAAAGTTATTATAGATTTAACAAACAAATATGATGATGAAGATTTTCTATATATTTTGGGATCACTTTATATATCTCACTACTTTTTAAGTGTAATTTGCAAAGAGATAAGAAAAGAAGTTAAAGAAATATTTAAAAAAATAGAATTGAAAAATTATCTTAAAAGTGTAGTTAACTCAATCAAAGAAGAAATACATATGAGCATTCAACATAATTTGTATATTGAAAAAATTGATTTGTTTGAAGAATTATCTTATAGTAATTTTTTTAAGATAAAAAAAAAAGAATTTTTTAGTGAAAAAATAAAAGATGTAAAAATGGATTTACCTTTATTACCAAAAATATTGAAAAACATAAATAAAGAAAAAAGTAAAAAAATTTTAAATATAATGAAATCAGATAAGTATAATTGTAATTACTTTATTACCCAATATATATGTAAAAATAATTCACAAAATGCCCAAGATTTGTACATCAAATTAAAAAAAGATTTTAAGAATTTCATGAAAAATGTCTTATCATATTATAATATTGAAAAAATATTATCTTCTTTGAATGATTGTAATGATTTTATTAGTTTTTCATTAATTTATTCATGTTTAAATTTTGTCTATCATGTTAATGAAAATTATAATATAATTTTAAAATTCACACATGCCATCACTTATTCTTTATGCATATTCATACATTCCTTGCATAATATAAATTTTTCTATACTACAAAAAAAAGAAAAAAATTATCCATTCAGTATTAATAAATTAGATGAAAAAAAGTTACAAAGAGATAAATATAATTTATATTCATATATAAAATTTCCCCTTAATTTTAACAAAATAATAAATTTAAAAAAAGAACAGTATGAACAAATAAGTGACTTGGAGTATTTTGATTTCATCATAAAATTAATTCAAAAACCTAAGAGTATTTTTAAAGAATTCGATTTCTCAAATTTATTAAACTGTTTGAAAATATTATGTAAGAAAATTGTAATATATAATGAACAAGATTCTATATCAAATATGAACGAATTATTTAAAATTGAACAGTTTAAAAATACTGCAATAAAAGAAAAATATGAAAATATGGAAAATGATTATATAGAAAAAAATATTGAAAAAGAAATTAATGATGTTTTTTATTCACAAAATTATTTTTTAAATACAGAAAATATTGATAATAACATAAATTATTGTACTAATGAAAAAAATGAAGTAGTTAATGATGATATTGAGCTATCTAACACGGAAGAGAAAAATGAGAATTTTGACGTTAATAGTGATTCAATTAAAAATAATGATTGTTCTTCTGACAAATTAATAGAAGACAAGGAAAAATTAAATGAAAACTTATTTAATAAAATTATATGTAAGATTGTAAAAATATTCAAAAGAAAAGAAATTTCTAAGACTAATTCAAAAAATGAAATTGATAAAATAAAAAAAAATATAAATCATACTTTAGATATGTTAATTAAATTAAATAATATGTCTTCATCTGAAGAAAATAATTCAACATTCTTGTTAAATAAAAAAAATGAAGAAAAGAGATTATTAATTTTTACATTAAACATAATAGATAATTTTGGAAATATTATAAATTATAAAGATGATAAATTTTTAGATTTTAAAATGAAAATATTCAATTTTTTGTTAAATAATAAAAAAAATCATGCTTATATAAATAAATATATCAATTTGTTAGAGTTTAATTATATGGAATTTGTTTTTAGTGCATTAAATGATTTATGTATTTTTCTTAATAATTTAAAAAACGAATTTATTATAATATATAATGATAGTAACAATTTAAATGTATTAACTATTTTAAATGTGATTGATAATATTTTAGGCATTCCTTTAAATGATGTTAAGAATCAAATAGAAAAAATAATTTTAAAATTAGAGCATTTAGTGAATTTAATTAATTCCCTTAAAAAGGATAATTTCGCTAATTTTGATGAAGTCACAATGAATAACTTAAATAGGCTCATTAAGAATAATATATTAGAAGAATTACTGATTTACACAATTTACTTTAGGTTATACAAATTAGAAGAAATAAAAAATATTCGTAAAAACTTAAATCGTAAAATATTAAAAAAAAAGACTTTAAATTTATTCGCATATTTATTTTATTTATGCTATGATGATACATACGCTGAAAGAAAATTGGAAAATACTGATTGCAATAATAATGATACTATAAATGACAGTACAAAAATTAAGATAATTAAAACATTTGAATCTCTCATAATATTTTTAAGAGATTCCATGATTGGAGAATTTCCTGTACGCTTAAATCTAATTTTTTTTATTGGAAATATATTTAAAAATTCGAAAAATATAAATGAAAAAATTATGAGTAATGTATTTTTAAATGTATATAATTACATGCATGTATATTTACCTTTAATAAAAAAAAAAATAAAAATTTCTAAAAATTATTTTGATCTACAGTTAAAAAAATCCTTACAAAAAATTAACTTTGATTTAATAGACTTAGAAGCATACAAAGCATCTATAATTAAATTTAAAAAAAAAATTATTTATTTTACTAAACTATACTTTCAACAAATTAGTATAACAGTAGATAAATTTATTATGGAAAATAAGCATTCTGTGTTTACATCTGAAATAAAAGAAAATATCAAAAAAAATAATTTAGTTGAAAATTTCTCAAAAAATAAAAATATAAATAGTGTCTCAAGTAAAATTTCTAGTAATTCGTCACACGATGAAAATATAACAGATTCATCATTAAATAAAAAATTGTCTAATTATGAAATAGTAAAAGAGAATTCATTAGAAAATGATTCAACAGTTAATATAGATGTTTTTAATAACAGCCAAATATTAAATTACGAAACAGAAAAAACGAAAGAAACTTTTGAGGAGGAGCATTTCATTTATAATGAGCTTAACGAACTAAAAAACTCCTTTTTAAATTTAAGAAATAAAATGAAAAAATTAAACCTAAGGGAATTTTTAAATAATCTCAATAATTATTATAGCTTTGAAGAATTATCAAATAATTATATGTGTGAAATAAAAAATATTTTAAAAGATCAATGCATTAATGCAACTATTAATCAAAAAAAAAGATGGATTTATATACTTAAACATTTTTTTACGAAAAAACTAAATATATCAATATTATATGATTTAAATAACTTTACTTTTTTTTCAAATTTATTTAAAGATTGTATAAATTTCGATAACGCTACGAATAATAATTTTTTATTAGAGTATTTTTCATCTGAAGAAATTATATCGGAATTAAAGAATTGCTTATCATACATGATAAAACACAATCCTCATATAATTGAAGAAACAAAAAGAGCTAAAATAAATGAGTTAAAAGAAAATTTAATACACTTTGAATATGATATAAAGAAAAATATAAAAAATAAAAAGTTATATAGCTTACATTTTTTAGATAAAATCAATTATATTTTAAAAAATAATGAATATAAAAATTATAAAATACTATATTTAACTATCTATATAAAATCTGTCAATATTCATGAAGATGTTAGAAATGATGAAATTATGAGCTATTTATTTAATTCTATTAATTTTGAATATTTTAATTTAAGAAAGGAAATTAACAATTTTTATCATCATTTTGTATTCTATTATTTAATGGTAGAAACATTGATACTTGAAAAAAAATATAAATTAAATTTTTTGCTAGTAGATATAAATGCATTTGAAAAATTTTTGTTAAAATGTAATTTACTTAAAAGTGCCTTAATACAAAATTTAAGCATTTTTTATGAACAATTATTCGAAAATGATTTTTTCAGAAGTATTCTATTTTGTATTTATAAAATTATATATATTATATATAACTCAAACGAATTCATAATGTTTAGATATCTTAAAAATATAAATAATATTGATTGTTTAAAAGAGTTTTTTAAAAATATTTCTAATTTTAAACTTAAAATGAATGAAAAGTTTTTGAAATATATTAATGAAAATATTGAATACTTAGATATTAATAAGAATAAAATATTCTTTTTAAATATTGCCCCATATTTTAAAAACAAGATTTATTCACATTTAATTAAATTTATTGAATTATTTAGAGAAATTAATAGAAATAATCATGATGAATATAATAAAATGTGTACCAATTTAAATGAAAGTATTGAAGATAATAATAGCAAGGAAAAAATAAATAGAATATCTAATATAGAATGTGTAAATAATGAAATTTTTAGTTTGATAAATAATATTATTAATAAAGAATCAATAGTATATAAAAAAGAATATCCAAATTTTCAAGAATCAAAAAATATTAATGAAATTTATTCAATGAAAAATATCATAAAATTATATTTAAACACATTTTCTTCTATTTCTCTAAAAGAAAAAAATAAGAATATAGAAATTTTTTTCTATTTAAGTAAAAATTTATTTTATTTTATAAAGTGCATATTTTTGTATTTTTTAGATATATTCATTGGTTTTTCAAATATATCATTGTACTTTTTAAAAGTGTTAAAACTTCTCTATACTAAAGGACTTTGTAGAGAATCAAAAAATGAAAATGAAGAAATAAAAAACGAAAAAGAAAATGAAGTATTTCATAAAATTGATTTCTTAAAAGGTATTGGTTTGGGTGAAGGGAAAGGAATAAGAAACATTTCTGATGAAGTTGATAATGAAGATTTAGATAATATTTATAATGAAAATGAGAATGATTTTAGTCAAGATGAAAATGATTTTAATGAAGAAGCTATTGAATCTACATATAATTTTAAAAATTTTTGTGAAAAAGAATTAAATGATATTAATGATGCAAATAATAGCAATAAAAATAAAATGGAAAATGAGCAAGATAATTTAAATATGGAAAATAACAATAATAATATAGGAGGAAAGAATAAAGATAAAACTAATGAAAAAGAAGAAATAAATGAAAAAGATTATGATGATGCAAATGAAAACACAAACGAAGAAAATATTGATGATGTTTTCGAAAAAAATAATAAAAGTTTTAATAAAAGTGAATCAAATACTTTAACAGAAAATTTAAAATATAATGACATACATAATGACAATAAAGAAGTAGAAGAAGGAAATAAAGGCGAACATGAAGGAGAAGGAGAAGAAAAAGAAAATGAAAAAGAAGAAGAAAAAGAAAATATTGATTTTAATAAAGAAAGTCAAGAACAAAAAGATAAATTTGAAAATGAACAAGAAAAGAGCGAAACCGAATTAAATGAAGAACACAAAAAAACTAATGAGGATGAAAATGATTTCAATAAACAAAAAGAAGAAAAAGAAGTTAAAATTAATAAAGGTAGTGAGTTAAATATAGATGATAATGAAAATGTTAATGAAAATAATAATTCTGATTTATTGAATGTTGAAGAAAACAACAAAGAATCTGAATATTTTGATAACCACATGAATCATATGGATAATAATTACAATGAAGGAAACGAAAATAATTATAATGATTTTGATTTTAATTTTGATTCAAATTTTGAAATAGAGTCTAGCGATTTTTCTAAATGTAGTGAAAAATCATTTTCAAGCAAAGAATATTTAGATGAAGATAAAAAAGAAGAGAAAAAGAATGATTTAAAAAAAGAAGAGACAGATAATAATAAATTTGATGAAAGAGATAGTGAAAACAATTTTCAGAATGCTGTAAGTGATGAAGATCATTCTAATTTTAATGAAAGAATAGATAGTTCGGATGATATTCTTGAAGAAAATGAAAAAGATGATGATTATAGCAGTTCAAGAGAAAATAAAATTGATAAAAATAGCAAAGGTTTTGAAAATGATAAAAAAGGAGAGATTGATAATAAGGAAACGGAAAATGAGAAGAAAAAAGATGATGAAAATTCAGGTAATGCAGAATGTATCGAAGAAAAAAATGAACTAAATAAAATTGATCAAGATAAGGATGAAAATGGACAAACTGTTGAGATGAAAAATGAAGAAATATGTGAACAGAAAGATGAAATTGAAGGTAAAGATACTAGTGAAGTAAAAAGTGAAGATCATATTGAAGAAAATAGAGAAATAGAAAATGAAAATGAGGAATTATGTGAAGGATCAGATGAAACCAATGATATAAAAAGTGAGAATAAAAATGAAGCTGAAAGAAACATTGAAATACAAAATGAAAATGAATATAAAAAAGAGGTTGAAGAAATTAATGAAATTAAAAAAGAAAATAATTTGTCAAAAACAGATGATATAAATAAAAATGAAAAAATAAAAGAAAATAGCATATATGATTATGCAAATGAAAAAGTATTTGAGGAAAATAAGGAAACAGAAGAAAACGTAACTGAAAATATAACAGAAAAATATTATGATGCAGAAGAATATGAAATTGATAACCAAAAAAATAGGTCTAATGAAATAGAGAAGAATGAAAACAATAATTTAATAAATGAATATAGCAAAATAAAACAAAATGAGAACACCATGTCATATTCTGAAGATAATATGTTTAACAACACACTACAGAGAGACACAGGAAAAGAAGATAACCAAAAAGAAAATGATGCTTCAAGCACAAATTATTTTTCATTTAAAATTGATAAATGCAACATATACACTGAAAATTTTGTTGATATAACGAATTTCATAGATAAATTAAATGAAAGTATTCATAATTTAAATGAAAACTCAAAAAAAAATGAAAAAGAATCAGTTGAAAATGATAAAATAAAGGAAGAAAAAAAATTAAATAAAGATTACAATATTTCTGAAAAAGATGAAAATTTCATTGAAGAAGAAAATATATATGAAAGTATTATAGATAAGAGTTCTACTAGTAATAATAATAATTTAAACCAGAACTTTAATGGAATGAGTGAAAATGATTCTGTAGATAAAGAACAAGAAAATAATGAAAAAAAAGAATACGACAAAAAACAAAAAGACTTATGTGAGGCAAACAAGTTTAATAAAAACCTAAATGAATTAAATATTAATAATATAGAATATGAATTAGAAGAGAAAATAAAAGAAAAAGAAGAAACAAGAAAAAATGGTCATGATGATAGTGATGAAGTAAATAGTTTTACGTCATCACCAGAAAGTAATTCATTAGATAATGTGAAAGCAATAAACTATACAAAAGAAAATGATGAAATAATCTCTGAAGAAAGTAATGAAAAAGACGAATTAATTGATTCTTTATTAAAAGAGTACGCAGATAAAGAAAGAAATAGAAAAGAAGAAATAGGAAACGAAGCAATTAAGAATGATGAATATTATAAAGTTCATGAAAATATAAATTTTTTTGAAAAAGATTATATATTAGAAAATAATTATGAAGAATTTCAGAAAGAAATAAAAAATGAAAAATTACATTATGATAATTTTAACTTGGAATATGAAAAAATATATGACCAAATTAATAACGAAACAGAGATAATGTCTAGTCAACTATGTGAGCAATTAAAAATAATATTAGAACCAACTGTTAGAAATAAGTATGAAGGAGATTATAAATCAGGAAAAAAATTAAACATAAAAAAATTAGTAAATTATTTTGCAAGTGATTTTAGAAACAATAAAATATGGAAAAGAAAAACAAAATTGAATAAAAGAGATTATAATATATTAATTGCAATAGATAATACAAAAAGTATGAAAATAAATAATATACAAAAAATGACGTTAAATGCTATATTTCTGGTTGCTAAAGCTTTTGAAAAATTAAATGTTGGAAAAATTGGTATATGTTCATTTGGAGAAAATGAAACAATTAGTTCAAATAATGTTGTTTGCTCAATGACAAATAGTTTGAATAAACAAGATTTTTTAAAAATTTTAAATCATTTTCAATTTAATCATGATACTCAAAATTCCTTTGATAACGCCATGTTAAATGCATTAAAAATTTGTAATTATATTTTTAAAAATTCTCATACACAAAACAATTCGAAAAACCAAATTAACCATTTAATGCTTATAATTAGTGATGGCAGATTTAATAAAAATTCAGTTAAAGCAGAAATTTTTAAATGTATTCAAAATAATTTCATTCCAGTTTTGATGATAATTGATACACAGCTAGAAAATAATAAATCGCAATCAATATTTAATTTAAAACAGACTTTTTATAAGAATAATAAATTAGAAATTGTCCCTTATCTTAATGATTTTCCATTTCCATATTTTGTTGTTGTTAATGATATAAATGATATACCATCATTAACTTGTGATATCATAAGGCAATGGTTTCAAATACTCAATAACAAGTAAATTCAAAATATTAATCAAAATATAACTAAACATGCTATAATAGAAAATGCAAATAATGTAAAATTCAATAAAAATATATATAAATAATGTAATATAATAAAAAAAAAAAAAAAAAAAATTAAATTATATATTAGATATATATATGCTTTTATAAAATGAAACTAATTATATATATTATAAAAACATCTAAGCAATCTTATCATTTCAATAAAAAATTTCCATTTTTTTAATATGTTTTTAATTATATGTAATATTTTTTTTTAAAAAGTAAGCAATACATAATCTTTAAATGAAAAAATATATTTTTTAAAATACAATTTGTATATTTTGTAATAATTATTTTCTTTGTTCTTACAATTTTTTTTTTTATATTGTTTTATTTTGAAAATTTTAAAGGCTATAATTTAATAATTATATGCTTTTAAATTTTTTTTTTTTCAAATTATAAATTAAATTAAAATATTCGTTTTTAATATAATTTTTAAATTTTATAACTAATTAAAACGTCATTAGCTTAAATGTTTATTTTGGCTATTTTCTTTTTGTTTTTGGCTTAAATCATCTAAAATTTGAACTTAGTAAATACTATTTGAAAAGAAATATTCATATTTTTAACTAAAAATAATAAAGATAATATATATTTATACAAATATTTATTTTCATATTCATATTTTTCTTAAATTTAAAAGTACACCTGATGTACAAGCTTTTAAGCAAAAAATAAAAAAAAAAAAAAAAATATATATATATATATATATAAATAATATTTACACATTATAATTATGGAATTATAGCGAACTTTTTTTTCAATGTAAGTTAATAATGTATAAAAAACAAAAAAAAAAAAAAAAAAAAAAAAAAAAAAAAAAAAAAAAAAGAGTAAATTTCTTTTTTATATCTCAATTAAATTTTATTATAAAAGGGAAATTTTCAATTATATTTCTAGAGTTGTTCTATATGTTGTACTTAAAATCCTAATCTGTTACAAAATTTTGTAACTATTTATTGGTAGAAAATTTCAAAAATTTTGATTCTCTTTTTATTATAAATATATATTTTATTTTATTTTTATTATATATATATATATATGAAAAAAGGAAAATTTTCAACAGATATAAGAAAAAAATATATAAAAATAAAATTTTGAAAAATGCATGCAATAAGGTGTGTGTGTTAGGCCTTTTTTAATGTATTCTAGCTCATAACATATCTAAAAAAAATTTCTTTTATATTTTTTTATATATTTTATTTGATTCTTCTTTTAATTAGTAAGAGAGAGAAAAAATATATATATATATTATGTATATACTTATAGAAAAATAAAACTAACATTAAATATATGTAAAGAGAAAATTTTCGAGGATATTTTTTGATAAATATAAAATTTGATATTATGTTTAATTTTTTTAAAATATGAAAAAAATAAATCTCAGACAAAGTTTAGTAAAATTAACCAATGAAATGTTTAAATAAAAACTAATTTTGAAAATGAAAATATATTTGATAATATTAAATTTCATAATTTTTGGTAAAACAAGATTAAATTTTAAAAAGATTATATGAAATATACCTCGTTTTTAGATCTTCAAAAGTTTTATAAAATATATATAAATATACATATATATGTAATTTTTTTTTTTATAGATTTTTTAAATTGTGTTGAAAGCACGAAAATATCTCATAATGAAGGTATATAATATATTTATAAAATTATCTTATTATAATTATTATATATATATGAACATAAATATAGATATATAATTTAAATATATAGACACACAATACACATAATTTTACAATTTATTTTTCTCTTTTTCATTTTTTAATAGTTGAAGAAATAGGTGTTTCTGAACAAGCTTTAAAGAAGTTACAGGAATTAAAAAAATTAGAATTAGACCTTTTAATTGATATTGTTAAGAAAGATATTTATAATAAGGACACATATACAAAATACCATTGTATATCAAGTGATTATGCTTTATTTAACAAAAAGGATGAAATAAGTAATTATAATAGTATAAATATATATATATATGGAGATAGATAAATTGAATAAAACACATATATATTTTGATTTTATTAATATACAACATCTTAAACAAATTATTCAAATAATTTATGAAAAAAAATATATGATTATTCAACAAAAAAGACAATAAAAAATTTATATAAATATAAGAATTATTTAAAATATTTATATTAATAATAATAAATTTTTCTAATACATAAAAAAAAAAAAGTTTACATTAAGTGATTATATAAAATGTTAATTTTTTTTTTTTTTTTAGAACATGAAAATAATAATACTGAACAAAATAAAGAAGACAGTGAATCCATTCATAATGGTCAAAATAAGAAATCAACAAGTTTCATTAATAAAATAACTTCATTTTTAGGAATTTTTCATTACAGTAATAAAAATAAAATTTCTCCTAAAATTAATATACAAGAATATAATATTAAAAATGAAGAGAATGATGACAAATATAGTGCAGAAACAAGTGCACTAATTCATGAGCAAAAACCCAATTCATATATGCAATTAAAAGGATTTAGTTTAATAAAAAAAAATAATCTTTTTGGTAGTAAGGAATCTTCAAATGAAAATGCTGAAATTGGAAATTATGGGTCTTTTTTTTTTATTTTTGGTACAAGTAATACTGATTATCCTTGGGCTTGTGTGTGTGATCCTCATCAACTCATAGAATATAAAAAAAAGAAAAGAACGTATGTTCTATGTCATAACCAAATAGATATGTCTATTCAAAATTCTGACTTAATTTGCAATTATGAAAATTTTTCTTATAATATTCATTTATGTTACATTTTTATTTTTCTTATTATACTCATATATATGTAAAATATTATATTTTATTATTTCATGTACATAAATATTTTTAAATATATAGCTAATTTTTTTTTTTTTTTTTTTTTTTGTTAAATCATTTATTTTTAATATATATGTGTATATTCCTTTTAATTACTATATTTATATCAGAAAATCATATACCTGCTAAGTGTAATGTCTTATATTTATATTTAGAATTTTCATATAGGATAAAATAAAAAAAAGAAAATATTTTATAAATATTCTTACAAATTAAACTTAAATTATTATTTAAATATACTTTTTATTCATTTATTTTTAATAATTATCAAAAGTTTATAAAGACACAATATATATATATACTTATGTTTATTAAAATATATAAAATGAAAAAATATTATCTTCTTTTTTTTAAAATGTTATAAAACCTTTTATTTAATAAAAGAATTAAATATATAAGAAGGTTAAATAAAATAATATATATTTAAATAAAAAAACAATTGTTAAATTACATAAAACCTTTTGGTTATTTATATAATTTTTTTTCTAATATATATGTATATATATATATATATTTTTTTTTTTTCACGAAGTTAAATATGATTAAAAAAATAATATATCATGAAAAAAAAATTTGTTTTTATTTTTTTTAAATATATCAACATAATAATGAACACATGCTTAAATGAATTTAGATTATAAATTTTTTATAATGGACTATCATTTAAAAGTTTTTTTTTTTTTTTTTTTTTTTTTTTTGTATATATTATAAAAATAAATTATTTTAAAAGTTTTCATTCAAAATAATTATTTATCATAAGTGTTAAACATTTTTATATTATAAAATGAAAAGGAGAAAATTTAGGATAAGAATTTTTATTTTTTTTTCATGTTAATAATTTAATATGCTCTTACCTAACTTTTAATATTCCTGCAGCAATAAGTTTCTGTAAACCATTGAAAATTTTAGGATCTTTTAAATATTCAGAAATGGAATTAGGATTTTCATTTAGTCTTTGTAGTATTATTTGAAATTGTGGATCTGATATAATTTGTTGAATTTCTGGATCAGACATAGATTTTTTGAATTGTTCCTCATCAACTTTTTCAGATTTAGACATTTCGTCAATTTTATAAACGCATCTTTGATATCCCTCCATACATTCTTTATTATTTGGATCAATTTCTAATCCTTTATTATATGCCTGTAAAGCTTTATAATAATCTTTCATGAAAAAATGCAAGTTTCCTTTTCTACTATATGCCTTAACAAACTTAGGGTCTAATTCTATAGCTTTCATAACATCTTCTAATGCTGATGGGTATTCTATTAATTTGGTTAAAGCTGCTGCTCTATTGGAGTATAATTTTGCATCATTTGGATTTCTTCTGATTGCTTCATCGTACTCTTTCTTAGCATTAGGAAAATCACCATTTTTAAAATATTCATTACCTTTATTTTTATGTTCTTCTGCTTTAACTGGATCTATATATGCCTCTTTTTCTTCTTTTTCTTTTATCCTCTCTAATTCTTTTAAAGCATTTCTTGTTACTCTATTATTATCTTCTACTAAAGATTTTTGATATGCTTCTATAGCTTTATCATAATTTTTCAAATTGGTATAACAAATTGCTAATCTATTATATAATTTTGCTACTTTATTAAAATCTGCTTTGAAATTGTATCTATTTTCAATTGCATATAAACAAGTTTCAATGGATTTTTCATAATTCTTCATTTCAATATACACTGCTGCTTTATTATAGTAATACATAATATCATTAGGGTTAACTCTAATAGCTTCATCATATTCTTTTAAAGCTTCTTCAAATTTTTTTTGCTTATAAAATTCATTTCCTTTTAATTTATGTTCCTCACCAAGTATTTCTTCAGGAGATCTATTTTTTTTTCTTTCCTCTTCTTCTTTTCTTTTCCTTTCTCTTTCTTTTTCTTCTTCCTCTTTTTTTCTTTGTCTTTCTCTTTCTCTTTCTGCTTCACTTGAATCATCATTAAATTTTATACCAAAAAACTTTTCAACTCCTTCACTAATTTTTTTATTACACGATGATAATATTAGACGTATATTCATGGGATTACTATTAATTTTTTTTATTGTATCTAAAAGTTCATTTGGATAATTTTCATTTTCTTGTTTGTATGATTTCAAATTTTCATCATTATCTATTAATTTATTTATATGATTCATGAATTCCATATTTTCTAATAATTTTTCTTGTCTTACTTTTTCTAAACCATCTTTTAAAGATTTATTATTTGGATCTATTTTCAACCCTTCTAAATAAGTTTTTTCTGAATTTTCTAATTGCCTTAAACCATGTTCTGCACATCCTTTTCTAATATATCCTTTTGGCCAATCTTTTTTTAAATTTATACACTTATTTGCATTTTCTAAAGCTTCATAAAATCTTCCTAAACTTGAATAGGCACCTGATAAATTTGAATAAAGTACATGATCTAGTGGATCATTTTTTATAGCATCAGAAAAATGTTTTACTGAATCTTCATATTTTCCTTCTTGAAAACATTTATTTCCTAATTCTTTTAATCTCTGTGCTTCTTCTTTGTTTATCATTTTTTAAAATAATTTTGTATATATAAATATATATTTATATATATTTATATATATATATATATCTCTTTTTTTTTTTTTTTAAATTATTATTAATATAATATTATATATATTCTAATAGTTTTTTATTTTTTCAATAATTTTTAAGTATATTATTAATTTGATTTTATACAAGTTAATTACTTATTAAATACAAATTTTTTTTTAAAATATGCAGTTTCAATAAGAATATTAATTTTTTTATTATTCCTTTTTAATTTACAATTAATTTGAATTTATATAATTTTCTATAAATATAATTTACCCACCAAATTTGTAATATATTTTAAAACATTTGAATTATTTAATTTTATTAAATTATGTTGTTATAAAAAATATATGTATATATTATTTTGTAAAATTAATTCATTTAAATAAATTTATATTAAATATAAGAGAAGTTTATTATTTTCTTAATGTGGATATTTTTAAAATATTAATCTGTTTTTCTTTTTTTTTTTAGTACAATTTTTTGCTTTACGAAATATACATTTTTTTTATAAAAAAATATTATAGTTTTAATAAATAACAAACATTACGATATTTTCTTCATATAAATTTTTAAATGTAAATGATTTATATGAAAATTTTTTTTTGAAATTACATTAATTCTATTTTTTTTTTTTTTTTTAGAGGTTTATGCTTTATTTTTTCTTTTATTATAAAGTATTATCTCTTTTTTTTTTTTTTTTTTTTTTTTTTTTTTTTTTTTTTTTTCTTTTTTTTTTTTTTTTTTTTTTTTTTTTTTTTTTTTTTTTTTTTTTTTTTTTTTTTTTTTTTTTTTTATTTTTTTTTTTTTTTTTTTTTTTTTTTTCATAATATATATATATATATATATATAAATATATGTATATATTTATTTTTTTTTTTTTTTTTTTTTTTTTTTGTACATATAGATTTATGTTTATTTTGATTTTACTAATTTTTTAATTTTGTATTTTATTTTTTTTTTAAATAAATATACTTTTATTATTGTATCTATTATTTTTTTTTTTTAGATTGTTTATATCTATAATATTTTTTTCTTTAAAAGTGTTAAATTTTTTTAAAATAACTAATATTTTATATTTTTAACATAATAATTAGTCTCCTTTTTTCTTATAAGTTAAACTTCAGTGCAATTGAAAACTTATTTTTCTTAGATGCAGGATGAAACTATATGTATATAAAATTTATTATACTAAAAATAAAAAAGATATGTAAATATATTATTATATATGAAAAGGGTTTATATTACGTAATAGTTTTTATTAAAAGCTTGATATATTTTCATTTTTTTTTAATTTACAAGTGGGATAAAAAGGAAAATATGTTTTCCATACTTAAAAAAATTATTATCATATTTTTCTTTTTACATTAGTTAACAAAGAAACATTAATATTTTATGATATCTTCATTCTAAAAAAAAAAAAAAAAAAAAAAAGACTATATGAATATTTATATTCTTAACCGTATACATAAATTATATTTATTTATTTCATTGTTTAAAATAAATATCAGAGATTTTGGAGCAATACAATATTTTTTTGTTCATTTAATTTTTAACTTTGTTTTCCTTATTACAAACATTTTATATTTTAAAAGAGATCAATATTTCAATATGATTTAATTTGCTTTATATTTTTTTTTTTATTATATTTATAATGATATAATTTTCATTTTTTATATTTATATTTTCAATTCATAAGTTTTACTATTATTTATAAAAAACTAATATTTGCAGCTACACGTCAAATATTCATTAAAACTATTATTTATATTTAACATTATTATATTATATCATAATATTACTACAACGTTAATTGGACATATTTATTCTATTAATTGCTTTTGTTATATCATTTAAATATATGTAAATATTTATTTATACTAAGTTCAAATTAATTTCTTTTTAATAATATTTAGAAGAATAGTTTCACCTTAAAAAAATTCATTATGCTTATTAAATTTTTGTAATTATTTAAAGAGCTAAAAATTATAAAAACTTTTTTTTTTTTTCCAAACTTGTATGAAAAAATAAATGAGTATCAAAATAAAAAATACATTTAATTGTCCATGTTATTTTTAAAAAAAAATAAGGTTTTAAGAGGTATATTAGATTTATTGACTTTTTTTTTATATAAAATGCTTTTTATTTTCAAAATATAAAAAAGGATTTATAATATATTATAGGTGTTTTTATGACGTTTCATTTAATATTTTTTATTGTATATATAAATTTTTTTTTTAGATATAATTTATTCCTATGTAATTATTTAAATGAATAATTGTATTTCTCATAATTTGCAAGTCTTAATAGAAAAATGTGTTAATTTAAGCTTTACATTTTTCTCTTACTTAAGAGAAAATTTAGAAAAAAGTTTTAATTGCATATCTATAAATAATTAACATTTTCTTATTTTTCATTCCATAATATTTTATTTAGTTTGGTCTATAAAGAACTTTTTTAATAAATTTTTAACTGTAATATATTTTTGGGATTTGCATTTTCAAGACTCAAATTGTGTAAAGCGTGCAAATATCAAAAATTAAAACATTATATATATAATGAAAAAAAATAAAAAAAAAAAATAAAATTAAATGTATTAAAAAAAAAAAATAAATGAACATGTAAAAATTTAAAAAATAAGAAAAAATAAATGAAATATTATTTATATATTTCAGAATTTCCCTTTTTAAAAATAATGAAAGAAAAACGTCTGATTAATATTTAATTAAAATTTTCAAATAATATAAAATTTTTTAAGTTTCATTTTCCATAAGAAATTAAAATAATCTTATTACGCAAAAATATAGCAAATACATATTAGAATAATCTTCAATGTGCATAAATAAAAATATAAGAAATGAAAAAAAAAAAAAAAATATTCATATATTTACATACACATACCATTTTTTTTAAGCATTTTTTTTTATTATTAATATAATATTGTTATGATTTAATTTATATATTTTAGAGATATAAAAATAACATAATACTGGATGTGCATTAAACACACAAACTATATTCGCCTAAAACTATTTTTTTAAGAAAAACATATTCGTGTATAATTAATAAAAATTATTTTTATAAGTTTTAAATATACTTTTTATTCAAATAAAAGAGAAAAAACCAAAAATAATAAAGAATTTCTCAAAATAATTATTTGAAATATAAATAATAACAATGGCAGACAAATTAACTGAAGAACAAATTTCTGAATTTAAAGAAGCCTTTAGTTTATTCGATAAAGATGGAGATGGAAGTAAACTAAAAAAAAAGATAAAACTGAAAAATAAAAAAATTTTATAAAGTATTTGGTGAAAAATTACAACATATATATCTATATCCATATATGAAAACTTATGAAATATATTTATAGTGCTCATATAAATTAAAAATTAGATTATATAAAATTTCATAAATTTAAATTATTTATGTGAAACAAAAATTAATTTATGAGTTGTTAATAAATAATAATGAATATATTAAAAAAAAAAAAAAAAAAAGAAAAAAAATAATTGTTATATTAAATAATATTAATTTATTTTCGAATAACAAAATAAAAATGTTATTAATTGTTAATGTTAATTTTTTTTTTTTTTTTTTTTTTTTTTTTTTTTTTTTTTGTACAGCTATTACAACAAAAGAACTAGGAACAGTTATGAGATCTTTAGGACAAAATCCAACTGAAGCAGAGCTACAAGATATGATAAATGAAATTGATACAGATGGAAATGGAACAATTGACTTTCCTGAATTTTTAACTTTGATGGCAAGAAAAATGAAAGATACTGATACAGAAGAAGAGTTAATTGAAGCATTTAGAGTTTTCGATAGAGATGGAGATGGATATATAAGTGCAGATGAACTAAGACATGTAATGACAAACCTAGGAGAAAAATTAACAAATGAAGAAGTAGATGAAATGATTAGAGAAGCTGACATTGACGGTGATGGACAAATTAATTATGAAGAATTTGTTAAAATGATGATAGCGAAATAAGTTTTTATTATTTTATAAATTGGTAGAAAAAAAAAATAATAATAAAAAGGCTATTATATACATAAAATATATATATATATTTTTTTTTTTTTTTTCATTTTTAATTTTTTATACTTTAATCTTATAGCCAGATTTTCTTACATATTTTTTATCTGAAATAAACTTAATCCCTTATTACCTCTATGAAAAAAATGAAAATAACAAAAATTTTTATAATATTTAAAAAATTGTGGCATCTTGTGATTGTCTCCATTTGTAAATACATATGTACATAGAAACACATCTTTTATTGCATCTTAATGTTTTGAGTAAAATCCTATTTTATTTTATTAGACTCATTATCTTTTTTTTTTTTTTTTTTTTTTTTTTTTTGGGGGTATTTGAAACAAACAAATAAAAATGAACTTATAAAATTTATATATTAAATTTTAAAGTAAAGAAAGACAACAAAATTTAATTAAGATGAGTTTTTTATTTTAGAATTTTTTTAATTTAAAAAGAACAAAACAAGAACAAAAATAAATTAAAATATTAAATAAAATATTAGAAATAAATTTAGTAATTTCACATTTAAGTTTAAAATAATTTTTCTTTATTTTTAACAAAGTTTTTTATGCACATAACATCTGTTTAAATATTTGATTATTAATAATTTTTACATTTTCATGAATCTTTTAGAAATATAGATATACACTTTCTTTGTATTGTTTAATTTTGTTGTATAACTATTCAATTAATTTTTCTTTTTTTCTATCACAAAATTAATAATTAATTTGCACTTTGTAATAATTACTGTGATTTATTTTACTTTATTTTTTCAGTTAGATGTATATTATCTTAATATTTATGGTGTTTTTATTTTATAAACTTAAATTATGATTTTCTACAAACCAACTAATGTAATTTAAAAAATTATTATTTTTTATTTGCGTTTGAATTTCTTTAAAAAATAAATTATAAATATAAAGGTTATGATATGTTAATATTACATGAGCTGTCAATTCTTGGCATTTTAATAAATGGTGTATATATGATTTTGTTTCTTTTCTTGGTGAATTATTTGTTATAGTAGAAAAATCAAAATTATATTTAGTATCATTTAAATCTATAATAAAATTTTCACTATTTTTAAAATTAATAAGATTAATATCATGTAATTTACTATTATAGTTTGATTCATTCATTTTAATATTCATATTTATAGCTTTACCATTTTTTGCTAAATAATAAGGAAAATTTGTTTCTATAATATCAATCCCATTAAAAATACTATGTAAAATTTCGATTGGATTTCCTATACTTAATTGTATAAATTTTAATTTATCATCTGGTAATACATTTAAAATATTTTTTAAATATTTGGTTCTAATTTCATTTGATTCATCATAACCTATTCCACTTAATAAATAACCATCCAAAATACAATTGTATTTATTTAATATATCTGTAATTAAATTATGTATATTAATTGTTGACGGAATAGATAGAATACATAAGGAATTATGCAATGAATTTTCTTTCATTGTTTTTATTTTTTCTAAAAATTCATCCATTAAATTTATTATTCTTATTTTTTTTTTTTTTCCTATATCTTCATTTATTTTTATTTCTTCTGAAGGAATGCAAAAAATATTAGGTTCAAAAATTTCTATGCATTTCAAGAAATCATCTATGGAAAATACAACTGTAGAGTTGTTATATTTTAGGGTTATATATTTATTTATATTTATAGAAAAATTATTTGTTAAAACATTTCTAATATTCATATATCGATAGGTACCTTCAAAATCACAAAAATTATCTAAATAATTTTTTGATTTATCACTTTTTTTATTAAAAAATTCTTTTGCTTTTTCTAAAACATCTAATTGGTTATATACTTCAAATAATGGGCAATTTAATATAACCTTTTTTTCTATTTTTCTTAACAATTCCATATTTATAAATTCTGGTAGAAAGTCATTAGTTAATATAGTACTAACAGGTGTTTCAACATCATTTATTTTTTTTATACAATACTTCATTTCATCTTTCATTTTTAAGAATAACATACATAAAAATAAAAGTAACAAAGTAAATATTTAAAGTTAAAAAAAAAAAAAAAAAATGAAATAATATATTTGCTATTATACAATAATATTAAATGTTTGAAAAAAAATGTTTTTTTAAAAAAAAATTTTAAATTATGAAAATTTTAAAATACTTTTAAGTTCTATAGATAAAAAAATTATAAAATATAAACAAATGCTTTAAAACAAAAAAAAAAAAATTTTAAAATAAAATTATTATGTATATTAAATGTAATGAAAACAATGAAATAAATTTAAGTTAAACTTATTAAAAAAATGCCTTTGATATTATATAAAGAATACATAAAATATGTATTAATGTTCCATATAAAAAAATATTTTCATATATATATATATATATATAATTAAAATGAGCTAACATATTGACTTATTTCTATTTATATATCTGTATTTTTTTAAAATTCGAAATATAAACTAACATAGTACAAAATGAGATTTTAAGGAAGAAAAATTATATATATTAATATATATATAAACTATAGTAAATAAATATATTTAAAATAAAGAATTAATAATTTTTTTTTTTTTTTTTTTACAACTTTATTACAAAATGAATGAAATAATAATAAATAATTTAAATTATAATTACTATAATCGAATAAAAAATACAAGTATAAAGGCACTTGTAAATGTAAATCTGTCATTTCAAAGAGGAATGAGAATTTTAGTTTGCGGAAAAAATGGAGCTGGAAAAAGTACATTATTAAGTATTATTGCTGGAAAAAAAGTTATGATTTATTAACTATATGAACATAATTATTATGATTACCTTTTTATTTATTTCTACTGAATTGTTCTATATTAAAACAAATATTAATAAAATGTTATTTAATTATATTTTTTTATATATGTTCACATTTTTTCTGTAGTTGATAAAAGAAGAAGAAGTTTTGATTTTTAATAAACCAGCTTTTCATGATACCACACTATCAAATAAAATAGGATTTGTAGGAGAATGGTGGAGTGACGGTAAAAGAAAAATTAATATTAAAAAGGAAAGATAAAAAAAAAGATTATAATATTACCAATATTTTTATTTTTTATTTTATTTTTTTTTTTTTTCTTAGAATATGTATTGAACATAACGATAAAAGATTTGTTTTCACAATATAGGCATTCGAAAAGATATAAAAATTTACTAAAATTATTTGAAATTAACGAAAATAAACTTATAACAAGTATTTCAAAAGGAGAGAAGAAAAAAGTTCAAATTTTGGCTAATATAATTAAAAGAAAAGATATTTACATTTTTGATGAAGTAACTGAATCACTAGATTTAGTATCTCGAAAATTATTACTAGAGTAAATATATATATATATATATATATATATATATATATATATATATATATATATATATATATATATAT